ACAGGGACTTATATCTCAAAGGCTTTGTTTAACCTGTTATAACTGTATATAATAGCAGTTCACCCTTTCGGAACAATAAAGTCTTTCATTTAGAATGTTTAAGAATGCATATATTTTGAACCCTTACAAAATTAGCTTGAAAAGATGATATAGCGATATATATTATAGCTATTACATAAAATTATGTAACAAAATGCAATGTTTGATATGAATTATTTTGTAAGGGATATCGCCATTATCTCCTGTTTTGTTGCCATTGGGCTTAAACTTCAGAACTTAGAATTGTCACCTGAATTGGACTTTATTTCACATGGGCTTTAGCATGAGAGAGTCATAGAATGTATTCACCTATGTCACAAATGTATACATGGAGGAAGAAAAGTCAGTTTTTCAAAGAAAAGGGTAAGTTTTTAATAATCTTAACTTTATCTCTGGAATTTGTAATATGGGAGGAATGTAGGTTAATCTGCATTACAAATGTTGCAATGTAAACTATTGTACTTTCTCTAATTGAATAATCTATTGTAGTATATTGAAGGTTAGGCCAATTCCATTGAAGTTCATGGAAGGATAGGCCAAATCCATTGTAGTTCATGAATGTAAGGGTAATTCCATTGTAGTTTATTGAAGGATAGGCCAATCCTATTGTTGTTCATTGAAGGATAGGCCAATTCAATTGTAGTTTATTGAAGGATAGGCCAATTTTATTGTAGTTTAATAAAGGATATGCCAATTCCATTGTTCATTGAAGGATAGGCCAATTCCATTGTAGTTTATTGAAGGATAGGCCAATTTTATTATATTTTAATGAAGGATATGCCAATTCCATTGTAGTTCATCGAAGGATAGGCCAATTGTCATTTCGATGATATAAGTATGTCATGGTAAATCAAGACCAATATTGTATTAAGTCTCTTGATACATCCCCTCAGGATCAGCATCTTGTATCTTGTAGACGAAGCTCTCTTTTAAATAAGCAAATGAAGCTACTTGAAAGGGTATTAATAGAGGAAAGCTGATGTATGTGTATGTATCAAAAGATATTAGATATCCCCCCGATTTTCCATATTTAGAAATTTTAGAGAAAGTCTTCTCCATGGGAATAATATCTAAGTTATACAAAGGTGGAGCAAAATCCAGATTGGCGAAGGAAAATTACAGAGACATTACATTACTACCTGCCTTGGAGAAGTTATGGGAAAAACTAGTTCGACAACGCTTACTTGAGAGTGAAACCAGAAACAATTGTAAGTACTTAAACAGCAATCAGCAAAATGCCTACGCTCCTAACATGTGCAGCGTCACTTGCTCGTTTAACGTTCTAGAGACTGTACGATATAACGATGAACTAAACCAAAAGACATTCATGGCATGTATGGACAGTACCCGGGCCTACGATTCGGTGTGGCACGATGGCCTCTTTTTCAAACTTCATAACATTGGAATAACAGGTAGACTATGGCACATCTTAAGAAAACTGTACTCAAGAATGCAGGGTGCAATTATTTTTAAAGGCAACATAAGCAGCTGGTTCCCTATAAAGCAATCTATCCGTCAGGGAAGTATTCTTGCTGGCTGGCTCTACACAGTGTATATAGATGAATTATTATGTAATTTAGAACGCTCAAACTTATGCACACAGATGGGTACCATATTATGTGGAAATCCAACTTACGCCGACGACATCTCTATTCTGGCCAACACTAAGCTTAGCCTTGATACGTTGATTCAAACTGCCATAATCTACTCTAAGAAATGGCGTTTTGTTTTTAACCTGCAAAAATCCAACGTCATCACTTTCGGTGAATCTAAACACCAGAATTCCCTATTGATTCAAAAACGTAAATGGATGTCATCTGATGGAGAAATAATTGAAGTATCCTCACTCAAACATCTTGGAAACATATATGATTCAAATCTCAGTCTGAACAAGGCCATAGACAAAGCTGCTTCATCCTTGAAAACAACTTTCGCTTCGCTCGTTGGAGTTGGCGTTCACCCGAAAGGTCTAAATCCTCTAACTGGCTTGAAGCTCATTAACACTATTTGCATCCCTTCCGCCTTACATGGTTGCGAACTGTGGAATGAATTAACAACCTCCCAGTGCCTAATATTACAACGGGCCTACCGATTTATCCTCAAGCGCTTGCAAGGTCTATACAGATGCACGAAGACTGATATTGTGCTTGGACTTTTAAACTGTAAAGACATTCTTCAAATTATTGAATTAAAAAAATTATCTTTACTTGGGCGAATCTGCAACATGGGCAACACTGTTACAAAGAACATTTTCTTATTTCGTGCACATCTATGCAGAACAGAAAATGCTTCCCATAAACAAAAAGGTTTTATACCAGACATCCAAAACATACTTCAGAAGTACAGTCTAAATGAATACTTAGAAAGATTTTTAGATGACGGGTACTTTCCCCCTACAAAACTATGGAAATTGATTTGCAAAAATAACGTTCAAATACAAGTTGAAGCTAGCATCAGCACTCTAAGGTTGACCAAAGTCGAATTATCTAACAATATCATATGGACTACTGGTCAAAAACATCCGCATCTATTAGAATACTGTTACACACTAGCGAAACTAGTAGCACTTCCTGAAGACAAAGAAACCAATCATTTATGTGAAAAATGCGGAAATTTATTTAAAGATACAGTAAATCATTTACTCTTTCAATGCTGCTGTGATGCTGTCTGCAAAGGTATGACCATGCACGACTTAGTATGTGACCCCCGCGACGCTGATGAAGACACAAGCGACAAAATAGCAGCATTAAGTAAAATTTTGCCACAAATACACACATTGATTTTTGTAAACGGAATCTCATTGGTTCCAGCGTTTCCAGATTAAAGCGATAATAATGCAAGGTGTTAGAGCTTTCTGCTCAACATAAATGTATAAATGATGTAAATAACTACCATTTTTTAAAAACAAAACAAAAACAACCTTCGTTTGAAAGTTTTTATACACTTTATTAACATGTAATTACGTTGTAAAATGATCCATGAATAATGGGAAATAAAGATATAATAATAAATTGTGTATTTTCGCCTAATTAGCTACTTAAAACTACTGATTGTTCAGTAGCATTTGAATACAGTTTGATGAATGTTAAATAATTCTGCCAATAGCTTTAAAGCCCAGCTGAGCAATGAGGCTTACCACTCTGCAATTCTTAGAGATAAACATGTTACAATTGATTTTTCATTTATTTTGTGTCTTTGATCTTTAAATCATGAAATAATGTTGTGATTTGTCAGAATCAGAAGTTTTAACCTTGGAGATAGTATTAGGATTGATTTCACAAGAGCACTACCCTGAGTGCAGAATCAAGTTTTAAGCTTACCTCTGAATAGGCATGGGTGTAGCTGGGGTTTGCGATTGCCCCCCCCCCCCCCTTCACCCCTACAAAAAATCAATTAAAAACATTAACAAATTATAGTTTTTAATGGTTAGAATGCATCATACAAAGTGAATTTTGAAAATTTCCCCCTTTTTGGTGCTCACTTCGCTCACAGTGATGCAAACAGTGATCGCACCCCCTAACACTTGCTGGCTATGCCCCTGATTGGTTAGACAATTCTACTGTTTAGGAGCGCTGCTGTGCTGTAAAGGGTAATTGAGAAAGCTTATTTTTCAATATAATTTGTCTATTATTAAATTAGAGGGACATTGGGTCCAGAAAATTTTTATTGTTGTGGTACTAGGTATTGAAGGTTGTATACATGTATAGTATAAAGGAACATTAGGTTGTATTACAGTGAATCTAGGCCTAGAAGGTTGTATTGCAGGGGCACTTGTTATAGAAGGTTGTGAGAATTTTGACAAGAATTATGGTGTCAATTTCCCCATCCTGGAAGGGAAGCAATGATGCAATACTCTCATAGCTGGTCAAATATGGTCGAAATTCTTATCACCAGGAATATGCATTTCAATAGTCAGTACTCTGTTCACATCCCATGTGTCAAATTCCCAAGGGTTTCATGTAATTCCTTGAATGGTTTATTACAGTAAGTTATTCTAGAAGACACTGGATAATGGAGTAAAAATGACAAAACATCTTTGGCCGGATCATGAATAACTATTATCACAAAATTAGTAGTACAGTATATCACTTATCTTATGAAAATAAATATTTAGATCAAATACCACTGTATTTGTAAATATTCTAGAGACCTTTGCCATGAGGGTGTATATCCTTAGCTAGTCTAATGTACAGGATCAGGGAATACCTCAACCTGTTTTGATCCTTTACTAGTTACTGTGACTCTGTACTAGACTACACCTTCTCTGACCAATATCTGCCTTTTTCTATTGAAATATTTATTTAGGAAAATAACAAGGGGATAACATGGATATAATGAATATCTCCCTGAAGCTGATTTGAATTCCTCATAAGATGCAAAACACCGTATCCTTAAGTTCTGAATAGCAGCAATGGAAATGATAAATTAGTGGTCATCCAAAGTAGTTTTGCAAGGTTGTGATTGTTTTTAGAGTAATATACCAAGAAAACATATCTATAAAGCATACAATAACAGATATTTGATCTTTTGGATTGGTCAATTGGATTTGTTATTTTAGATATAATATTTATTGTAGGAATTATTGTATTATTGCTTATGTTTAGAATTATCTGGATTTAATAACTGGGTTTTAAACTTTAAAGTAAAGTTAAAGTAAAATTCTAGAATTTGATATACTTTCTTCACTTGCATGATATTAGTCTATGATTCTATAAAAGATTTAAATTAAGCAAAATCTGTTTATTCCATTTTATGTGCTTAGGGGAGGCATCTAAAGTTCAATGTCTTTAAAAACTTAACTAATTAAGTTTTACCTCTGACCCCCCACCCCCACGGCACCCCCTTCAAAATATATGATGGAAATGGAAAGTTTCAGCAACATTTTCATAAGAATGATGGTTTGCATTGAAATTGGTCATTCCAATAGTCAAGTTAATGTTGTTTTACTTGTATGTTTTCAGACGAGAGGGAAGATGTACAGAAGAAGACATTCACAAAATGGATTAATGCTCAACTGAAGAAGGTAAGATCAGTTTGAGTTGGGGGGCTTTGAGATATATGGATGTAAGTACAGTATACAGTACAGTACAGTGCACTATACTACAGTATATTAGAGCATAGTACAGTAAAGTACAATATAGCACAGTATAGTACAGTACAGTATGGTAGAGTACAGCAGGGGTGGATCTAGGAACCAACAAGTGGGGGGGCCATATTTGAAGTCTGAAAAAAAAACTTGACCCTTAAAACCAAAATGGACCCAAATTTTGAAAATCTTAGGCCCATTTTCCTGATCATTTGGTCTAAAATTAAAAATTAAGGCCTTAAAGGCCCATTTTTGTTCTAAAGGGCCCATTAAGAAAGTTTTTTGGCCCAAAATATTTTATGGCCCCAATTTTTTTTATGGGTACACACCAAGGCCCCTCCCCAGATCCACCAGTGTACAGTATAGTACAGTACAGTGCAGTGAAGAATAGTATACTACATTGCTCTTAAGTGGAAAGTATTATTCTCCAAATAACTGAAAATGATTTTAACCTTCTTATAAGGATGCTTATTCTGTATTGTAATGGCTGTCAGAAAGTATTTTTTGCCCATATAGTAAGCTTTTGGAATCACCCACTAGCGGATCTGGATGGGCCCAGAAAAAAATGGGTCCCTAAAAAATTGCTGGTCATTACGGGACCTTTAAAGGCCTTATTTTTTAACTTCAGGCCAAATTTTGAAAAAACTGGGCCTCAATTTTTCAAAATTTGGGCCCACAGTTTTTATTTTCTCTGACCTGAAATTTTGGCCCCCCTTTTTGGTTCCTAGATCCGCCCCTGTCACCCACTCATCATATGTTTGTCCATCTTTTGGTCCATCTATCAACAATGTTGTTGCTTTTAACATGGGCTCTCCACAATAATTATATTGTATTTATGTATATACATGCAAATAAACATGTAAACCTTATTTAAAAAAATCTAATTACTTAGTTAACAAAAATACAGTCTTCCATCTTGGAAGTGATGAATATTCCAGTGACAAATCTGCAAATGATATCATTGTACCTTGTTTCATTTCAATCACTAACATACCATACTCAAAACATTCTATGGCAATTTGTCATCTGACATCAGTCTTCTAAGACATTCAAAAGCCTTTTTAGGACTAAGCCATACAAAAAACTCCCAATATTATAGATCTTTTTACCTTGCTTAGTAAAATGTCGCTCACACTTCATTACAAATGACTTTGACAGATTTTATTGATTTGCCAGTCGTATTTTTGCTTTGAATCTATTTTAATCATCTGTGCTTCTTAAATCGACTTTAACTGTTGTATGTTCTGACTAGAGACTTCCCTGTAGCTTATTAACCAACCAGAAGTTGAGTTATACAATCTTGTTTCACCACTGCAACTATACAATGTTATGAACCTTTATGAAAGTGTCTTGATTAAAGTAAGGTTGAGTTAGAATTTCCCCTTGCTTTTATGTTGTCCATCCGTCTGTTGGTCCGTCCGTCCGTCCGTCCGTCAACATTGGCCGCACAAATTAAAACTGCTATTCGGATTGAGTCATATCCACATTCATTTTATTTTATGCATATCGATAATGCCTATTTGACCTATCATTGCCATTTCCCAAGTTCGCCCGGTTTACGAGAAATTGCGGATTTTGACGTCAAAAAGTCAAATTTTCTGTAAATACTAGACACTTTGTTGAAGAAATAACTTTTAGTTGTTGGTGTATATGCAACTTATGTCCTCTGAAGATTTCAAAGCTCTTGGAATTACGGTTTTTGGTGTTTACTCTATAAAATTTGAAAAAAAGTAGGATTTAAGCATTCCCTATATATTTCTCAATATATGTCAGCATCAAATTTTTACCGATTTGAGATATTTGACGTCAAAAAACAGTAAAAATAAGTTATTTTTCAACTTGCTTCAATTTGAGCAAATTCTTTTTTGAGAATCATCTTCAAGTTGCCAGGAGTTCAAATCTGACATTAGTTTTAGGATTTGACCTTTACTTGACCTTCAGTGACCTTCGAAAGGTAAAAAAAGTTGATTTTTCAAATTGATTTTTGGATGTAAATTTTGGTCAGCTTAATCACAAAAGACCTTACTGAGCTCTGAATAAGTAAAATTTTCAAGGTCATCAAACTAGGTCACTCAACTATGATATCTAAGTTTCTCAAAGTTCGAGACTACAAATCCAAATCAATATTTTTGTTTGAAAGTCAGGATATAAATTCCTCTGAAGGTTCCAGACTTTGTGAGCACAGGACCGTGGGTCCTTCATTTAAGTATTCAAAGCATATTAAAGCCAGAATCAGAGATGTAGAAGGTGGCAAGACCTACCAATTCATGTATGTCATCGCAAATATATTTTCTTCCATAATATATCTATGTTTATTATAGAATCACATAAATATAAAAATTTCCAGTTTTCCTTGAATAAAGTATGAAGTTATAGGGATTTTCGGTAAATAGATAGGACAAGGAATGATATAGGGCATAATTATTCTAAAATTAAAACATTTTTTTGCTTGCTCTAGATTTAATTCTTCTTTGAAAAACCTGTTACTTTTGTGCAATGGCTCATTAGGACTAATAATATTTGATCTGGAAAAGTGTTACAGAATCAATCAAAAATAAATAAAGTGAATATCTGGAATTTTATTAAAGTTTATATTTGGATTTGGCTATTTGGACAGTTTTGACCTTTCAAACTGTGTATATAGGATGGTCATTACTTTTTTGTCCAGTTTTGTACTGCAATGTTAAATCAGTCACCTGTGTGTATATATCTCTTCATACCCTGTGGCCCTGTAGTATTCATAGCTCTCAAGGTAGAATCAAATTATTAAAATGGTGATCTGTAACACAGCCAAGTAAAAGAACGTTAGTTGGGAAACCTTCACTGTTAGTTGAGCTAAACCCTTGTAAGCCCCCCCCCCTCCCCCACTGCACACCTTCCCACATGTCAGGTGGATCCTGTGTGAGAAGGTGTGTGGTCAAGTAGTATGTGGGGGTAATAGGGGCTTGTAGCTAGACTATTTTACCGTATAAAGTCTAGTTTACAGCTCCAAAAACAAGACTATTTTGTTGATGAAAATTATGGACTGTTCTTTTTTGTGGCTTTATCTGATTCTATGCATGAAACTGTATGTTTGTTTTGGGTACTCATCAATATGGGCATTTATAATGTCCTTAGCCTGAATAAACAGTTTTATATAGCATTAGGGGAAAATGATAGGTCCATTAAAACTTTGACCAGTTGGTTTCCTATATGTTTATATGCTATATCTGTTCTCCTAAAACATAAGCAACTTAATCAAAGTGAAGTTTCCTATCCTCACATGAATAATGGATATGATAAAGGGCCCTATCTGTTTTAAGGTCAGGGAGGATCTGCATATAACAGAATATACCTGTCAGACATTTAAGTCCATCAGTTTTTTAAGCATCTTGGGGTATTAACTAATCAGTTTTAATTAGCTTCAAACTTTGCAGAATTTAATGGTAGACCTTCAGTTCTGCTTTCCATTGGTATGTGTGTTGTGTAGGTTATAAAAACATTACATGATTTCCTTCCCTGGAATGAACATTGTGAGTTTGGCCTTGGAAGTTCTTACGAATCCACTAATTTTTCATTTGTGGATAAAGATGAAATAGACCTGTTACTTCTATATATGCCATTCTGTATATCCAGATAACTCATAAATATCGTTATTTCATGCCATTTCTCTCTGATTTCTTATTAAGGATGAAAGTATTAGGAAAGTTGAGGAAAAATTGCCAGAAGGTTTGCGCTAAGATTGTAAGAGAATGGGTGTAATACAGTTCAAAACATGGTTACCTGGGAATAAATTTTACAAAGGTTTTCATTTTGAATACAAATCGATTAAAAATAAGAGTCCGGTTAGCAGTGACTGAAATGTTAAAAGATATGGCCAACTCTCTAAATTGTTTGGAATTGCAGACAATTTGGAAGTTTATTCATTTTAAGAGAGAAATTGATGAAATAAGCATGAATAGGCAGTTATTTTATGAAAGGTTATTCTGGCAATATGAAGGAGTTAAAACGCTTGTTAAGATGGAAATGGTAGATTCACTTAGAACATATACTGGAGATGAACTTACCTGTACTGGACATGTGCTTACATTTAAATTTCTGTGCTTGTGCAGAAAAAAGTTTGGGCCCCAAATTCGGAAATTTAGGCCTGGTTTCTTAAAAATAGGCCTTACGTTATACGAGCTTGTTATTCAAATTGCCCCATTTATGTGGGGGAGAAACAGATTTGAGCCCTAAAATCTGGGCCCACCAAAGGAGGGTGGTGAGCCCCCCCCCCCCCCTTCCCCCATATCCGTCACTGAATATGTACTTATATATACACGTACTGCAGATATAGTTATCTGTTCTTACATCTATTAACCCATTATAGACTATATGTATTTGTATTAGCCCTGGTTGAGATTTACTAGTGTTATGCATTATAGAGATGGTAAAATAAAAAACCATAACACCAGGCAACAATCTGTAGCTCAGTGTGAGAACATACGCAATAGAGGTATTTTTACGAAAAAGCGCAGGTGCATCAAGGTGGTCAAGTTCATGAGCCAAAGCTTCTTTTATAAACCAATGGGTAACTTTCATCAGTTCCACATGCTGGTTCATAATATAAGTTTGTTTATTAAGTTTGCAATACATATATTCGTTTGAAATTAAATTACTAATTTTTATTTTCAGGGCAATAAACCTACTATAGAGAATTTATTTGAAGACTTTCGAGATGGAACCAACCTTTTGTCCCTGCTTGAGGTCCTTAGTGGGCAGACTTGTGTAAGTATAGTAAGCAATTGTCATGACAGTGCTGTAAACAAACAAACAAACAAATAAACAAACAAACAATGGAATTAACAAAAAATATAGTATACAGTTTCCTTTTGTGTGGTCTCATGGTTAATTCACGCAGGAGAGTTTAATTATATTTCAATATATTTTGGGTAATTGAGCAATTCAAATTATATGACACTTTGCATGTCACATCCTTTGTTAAGTAATAACAGATTTATCATGTGGCCTATAACTTAAGAAAGCATATAAACATTATGGCCTATAACATCAATATTTTGACATAACTGTTCATAGGATAGTATGATATTTGGCAATCTACCAGTGTGACAGTTGTTGCTTGCCAATAAACTTGTACTTTATTATTGGCTGGCTAGATAAGTTATCTTCAAAGCCTCTGGTCTTGTAACTCATCCCTTTACAACTTAACCCTATGAAATCTAATAGAACACAGATGGAACAATGAGGCCCATAGGCAGGTCCTCGGGTTCTTATTCAGAGGGTTCGAACCTCAGGCCAAAAGTTCTTTATAAGTCATGTAGTTTCTTTCACCATTCTGAACACTTTTCAAGTGATTTTCGACCCTGAGAGTTGTCATATGTGAACCTCCCCCTTGAATTTCTCATATAATTGGTAAAAGCTGGCTAAGGGACAAAATACACTGTCTGAGAATAAGGTGTGATAGTTATTGACCAAAGATTGAAGTATTCAATTAGAAATTCACTTGTATTTAAGTTTACCATTGAATGTTGAACCAGAGATAGAAACTCTTAAATATGTGTCTTAATCATTATATTTTTCTCTAATCATTTTCTAAAAATCTCAAACTGTTATACCTTATTCAAGGAACTCCATTTGAATTATACCTACATAATGTGCAGTACATGTTCTATATGAATTCATTGATTGTTTTTTCAGAAACCTGAGAAGGGTCGTATGCGGGTACATCATATGAATAATGTCAACAGAGCACTTCAGCTTCTTGAAGATGAACACAGTGTAAGTCAAGTAAACAAATGTATTAAACACAGTGTCAGTCAAGTAAACAAATGTATTAAACACAGTGTCAGTCAAGTAAACAAATGTATTAAACACCGTGTCAGTCAAGTAAACAAATGTATTAAACACAGTGTAAGTCAAGTAAACAAATGTATTAAACACAGTGTAAGTCAAGTAAATAATGTATTAAACACAGTGTAAGTCAAGTAAATAATGTATTAAACACAGTGTAAGTCAAGTAAACAAATGTATTAAACGCAGTGTAAGTCAAGTAGACAAATGTATTAAACGCAGTATATGTTTAGAGACCAGAGTGTAAGTATAGAGAACACAGTATACATATATTGGACAGGGTTTAAATCTTAAAACAAAATGCAAATCTCTTGAACACAGTGTAAGTTTAGAGTACAAAGTGTAAATATATGAAAGCAGCAGAAGTATATAGTAAGTATAGAGAATACTTTCTAGGAATACAAAATACATTTAACATATGAATACAATACACAACAAGACTTACAATACAAATATACAAACTTTAATTGTAAACAACAAAACATGGGGTGAATACTGATTTTCCACATTTTGTTTTGTATAAAAATATGATATGGCATGACATCTATTATATTTCCTTGTAGGTAAAGTTGGTTAACATCAGCAACAATGACATAGTGGATGGTAACCCTAAGCTTACCCTGGGACTCATCTGGAACATCATCCTTAATTGGCAGGTATGTAACTCAGAAAGCTCACATTAATCTTATTAAGAAATTGAAAATTACCCTGTGCCCAAGCACACTTCTAATTCTTCGTGCTGTAGTTTTGTGTGCCAAATTCTAGTTTCCTACCTTACCCCCATATTATTAGAATAGCTGGCATTGAGCTATAGATGTGCTGTTATTAAGAGGTATACACTGAAATAGCTAAAGTGCTAAAATACCAGAAATTGGAATTTCCTTCCTAGCCTGCACTTAGTTGATATTTTTACTCAAAGAGAATCATGAGAATTTGCATGTTTTGAGTCTTATTGGATGTTGTTGAGAATAGGAAATAACCAACTATTGTCTGTTTTAGGTGAAAGACATCCTGAGTCGAGTCATGCCAGAACTACAACAGACCAACCTTGAGAAAACTCTGCTCACATGGTGCTCTGACTCTACGCAAAAGTATGTTTCTTTTTTATATATGTATACTTTAATATTCTTTAGTAGAAAATATACACAAAAGATAAGATCATCCCCCCAAATTATGGAAAATATAATCCAAGTGTCTCTTTTCTATGATGTTTATGCTTTGAAATTCTTGGTTAGAAATGATGCACATAAGATCGACCCCCCCCAAATTATGGAAAAAAATCACAGATGAACTCAATATTATTTCGCTGTACAATACAATTCAACTACATGCAACTGTATTTTAGCACTTTTGTGACCACATTGTATGACATTGTACCAGCATTTTGATACCTGTTTCAAAACAACATAATTGATGAACAATTACTATTATCTTTATTTCCAGATACTCTGATGTGCACATCACCAATTTTACCTCTTCTTGGCAAGATGGCTTGGCTTTCAATGCCCTCATACATAGATATAGGTGAGTACACTAGTCAGTGCCCTTATAAAAATTGCCCTCATAAATTCCTCAAACATTGATAAATAGCAGTTAATCCCTTGTATAGATGGGAAGCACAGCTTAATGTTCATAACTTTCATATTTTGTTTCACATATATACAAATCACAAATAAATCATAGTGTGTTGAAATTTCAGAAATTATTTGGATATTTTAAGAATTTTATAAAAAGGTCATCTTGCTTTTTCAGGCCTGATTTATTTGTATTTGACGATGTTGTCTCCCAGGATGCAGATTCTCGTTTAGAGCATGCATTTCGTATTGCACAGGAGCAGCTAGGTATCACACGATTACTTGATCCAGAAGGTAAGTGAATCTTCAAATAATGTCAACAACAAGGTACATTGGCATCTTCATTTTTGGTTAAAATACCATGCAGGTTGCAAATCTTTACACAAAAACTTGACCTTTGTTAAAGATTATTTAAAGGGAATTTTATCCGCATCCGCAACTAAGAAAGAGAATGGATCAAGATTATGGAGTTTATCTGTTGAAGTATTAGACTTTTACCTTTTCTTAATCCTTGAAACTTATGGATTTTGAAATAACAAATGTGAAATTAATGGATATTTTTTAACACATTCAATGAAATATTGACCCTGATATATGCGGTCAGGTAGAGGTGTTGAACCTCTTGTGTTCTTGATCCTCATTCTGAATACTAATATAGCTTTACAATTATTGTTTTCAATTCCAGATGTGAATGTATCCAACCCTGATAAGAAGTCAGTAATGATGTATGTGATGTGCTTCTTCCAAGTCTTGCCACATTCTGATTTGGATGATGGTGAACACACACAGGCAGCTAGGCCACTTACTGAGGTAAAGGCTTCACAGATTGTAAATCATGGGAGGATGACTAGATAAGGGGTTCACATATTTTAAATCATGGGTGTTTGGCTAGATAGGGGTCAGCGATTGTAATACTATGTTTGAGTGAAATTATCTAATTAGTTTTGAGTTAATTGAGGAATTTATTCAGGGGTTCACAAATTGTAAATCATGGAGTTTTTTTCTTATATATTCAGTCAAACATGTCCCTGAGTAGTTCAGCATCCAGTAGGGTGAGCACTGTGAGCTGTGGATCCGTGGACTTGAACACATATCAGGAGTCCCTGGAGGGGGTCTTGGCCTGGCTACTAGAGGCTGAGGAGTCACTACAGAAACAACCCTCAGTTGAAAACCATGTACAGCTTGTGAAAAAACAGTTCCATATTCATGAGGTAGGACATCATGTTCATATCAAGAGTTATGGCTGGGATATGAGCATTTTTTGTACATTATAGAAAATGAACAGTATTTGAAACCACAAATAATAAATGAGCAAACGTCTCTGCTCATTCTATCATGTTTCAATTAAAAGTTGTTTAATTATTTAATATGTTGTTCTATTATTTGATTTTCATGTAAAATCTGTATACAAACACTAACATGATGTATTTCATATCATATATCATACTTATGTGTTTCATTCCACAGGAGTTTATGATGGAGTTAACAAAGCACCAGAGCAGTGTGGGGAATGTCCTACAAGAAGGGAACCACCTCATCTCAGAGGCTAAAGTGTCTGAAGATGAGGAAAATGAGATTCGCGTTCAGATGGGGCTATTGAATAATCGCTGGGAGGAGCTGAGGTTACGCGCTATGGAACGTCAGACTGCGTATGTATTTATTTTAGAGATATACGTGTATGACAATCTAATTCAGCTTTATATTATGCAAAGGAAAACAATCAAACACAACTGTAAGAGGAACACCTCCACAAGTGTAATACCTTTTAAACTTACACAGGTTTTAATGTAGTTGAATTTTATATTAATACCTCAGGGTTCTCCTCAGGATTTTTTCTCAAGTGGGTGCAAAATTCTCATTTCCACAATTCAGATCAAAATTGGTCAAATTATGCCTTTTTTCATGATTTTTCATTTTCAAGTTGGTGCAAATGGATTTTCAAGTGGGTGCAAACCTGTTTTCAGAAATCCCAGATGGATGCTGTGCCCACTAGCTTTAATTCTAGGGAGATCACTATACCTTTATTATTTCAAAGGTTTTATTATGTCACTGCTAGATGTGGTGACATATTGTTATAGTCTCCAAATTTTTTGTGGATGGTTTTCGCAATCTAGCATTCAGCATCTGTAACAAATGGAAGGTGGTGGCATTTTGCATAAATGCCTTGTTTCTGAGTTTAGTGCCAAAATTATATTTTACTTAAAACTCTACTAAAGTCTACTTCAAAATTGCACATAATAACTAGACCGCATGATATTCCAGATTGCATGAGGCATTGATGAATCTACAACAGGGCCAACTGGATGAACTAGACCAATGGTTAGCAAAAATGGAGGATAAGATAAACAAACATAAGCCTATTGGAACAGATCTAGAGAGTATCCAAGCCCAGGTCAACTCACATAAGGTAATGTTTCAATGGTATACAGGGGTTTGCAGTCCCCTAAATATAAACCAGAAAACCATTAAGATTTTGTCAAGCTTGTTACTGAGCTGCCTTATTAAGAAGTTCACATCTGAGCACTCTTCATGGGCAAAGTTTGGAATCACTAAATTCTGAATACTTGGGACTGAACTTTCAGAGTTCTTACCTAAAGGACAATATTCTAAAATACAAGAGGGCAACATTACTTATACACATGTATTATGCTGTGTTGTGCCTTGTACAATGCAGTTTAATTATGCCGTGTTGTGCCTTGTACAATGCAATTTAATTATGCCGTGTTGTGCCTTGTATAATGCAATTTAATTATGCTGTGTTGTGCCTTGTACAATGCAATTTAATAAGGTTTTTACAAACATGTTTTCAGGTGCTACAAGATGAGTTAGAACTACAGCAAGACCAGGTTAACAACTTACAGAACATGGTTGTTGTTGTCGATGAGAACAACTCAGAGAATGGTATGTCGCTTGGACATTTTTATGTTAAAAATACTATTTTGAGAAAAAGAGTTTTATGTCAGGTACTCAGAAAATGAGTAGTGTAAAGTATATACACACACAACATTAAAGAGAAAATTGGGTAATGTACATCTATGCACATGTTGATATAAGTTTCTCATTTATAGCTTATATTGCACTGGAGAGTCAGCTTGAGAGGCTAGGAGAGCGCTGGGCCTCAGTGTGCAAGTGGGTAGAAGAACAATGGGTCTCCTTACAGCGAGTACTACGCAAGTGGCAGCATTTTGTAGATGAACAGAAACACTTCTCTGATTGGTTATCCCAGAAAGAGGCTATACTCAGCGATATGAAGTCAGTTGATTATAGTGACTCAGCTGCTGTTATAGATCTAGTGAAGACACTTAAGGTTAGTGTGGAGTGATGATTGGAGACTCATTTGTGTTGTACACTGAATCTAAAATGATGATTTTTGGGAATTAATGAACTTAGTGAATTCTGCAGAATCATTTGAGAAAAATGAGAAAAAATATGAAAAAATGATTTTAGAAATATATTGTGTGATAGACTTCCTGCAGTCATTGAGAGAGTAAACATGAAATGATGAAAATATTGTGACAGTTCTTCTTGGAGTTTTGAAGTGTTTCACTTTTGGTTAAAATCATGACAGAAATGAAGCTGTTAAAAAACATTATTCCATGTTTTGGAAAATTCTGCAGAAATAAATCAAAATTCAAAATTCTGCAACTCCACAGGCAAACGATAATTCTATTTGATTACATTTGATTCCATTGCTTAACATTATAAGAAATAATTTGATAATGATTCTCATACTCCTACAGTTAATACTGAACAATAAATAAGGTCTTTGTGAATCAGATTCGTATATGTGTTGTATAAATCAATTATTCAATAAAGATATTAATTAGAATCAGCAGGTGAACTGAACTTTCATAGATCAACTTAAAAGATTTCCAATAATATTCATTCCATAGCATATTCATATGATCCAATAACTTAGTAATATCTAGTAACTACAGTATACTGTATGTATTTTATTGTTTTTTGTTACTCAAAGCATAGAGATCGACATGGATGTGTAGGATATGCATGGATATGAGAAATATCCATCACATATTCATGTGATTCAATATTCAACTAGAACAACCGTTTATTTTTTATTGTTTTTTTCCTTACTCAGAGCATAGAGATGGACATGGATGTACAGGTTCAGAGGTTTGATGAGTTGACAGATGCAGGGCATGACATGGTTGCCTGTGTAGAGCTTGAAGAAGGGGCCGTTGCCAATATTAATCAGCAGATGGAGGAGCTACAGGCACGTTGGGAGAATCTTGTAAGGCATATGGAGCACCAGAGTAAACAGGTAGGTGGAAAGATGAACATGGAGAACAGAATACTTAAGGGCCCTGTGTAAGATATTTAATCATATGAGATATTTTTGGAAAAATATGACTTATGAAAAAAATGTAACAAAACATTTTTAAAAGCCCATACAACAATCGCTATAAGCATCTCATAATTTCATTGCTTTATTGTGCTCTTGTGCTGGTAGGTGTTTGGACATCTGGGCAGGCTGGCATAAATCTTGTCCCGAAAAATTGTCATATTTACCACTGTTTGTTCTTTTAGATTGCAAGCTGTGATGTTGACCTGAGTGTACTAAAGAGTCCAGGAGGCACAGAAGTACAGACATTGCGTACATTCACCACTGAGTCTACAACAATCACAAGGACCATAACACACACTAGTACCAGCTCTAGTGCTAAGAGACCCAGGATTGAGAGCTCACACAAAAAGGAGTTTGATACCCAGGTATTTCTTACTACTATCCTAGGTCCTTTGTCATTGTCTTCAAAAAGCTTAGACTTGTTTTACTTTTCTCTTTCATTTATAAATAAGGTTAATGAAAACAGAATAAAATCCTGTGCTAAAGCTTGATGTGAAAAAGTAAGTATTGATTGTATTCATGACCCCTCGCGACCCTCTCTGCCATACACATAAAATGTGTTTGAAAACTATAATACATTAGCGCAGTCAGATGTCCCTTTGATAGTTTGACTTTTTCAGGAAAGCAACAAACTTGGCACAGTTGTAGAAACATATGATCTGAATGAAAAATGATTTCGGGGCAAGTGATTCAGGATGGTCTTCAAGGATTTTAAGCCTCTGACCCCCACCCCTATCAGGCGGGGAGGGGGTACATTATAATAAAATAAATAAAAATAGTTTTAAAGTATATTTCTTTAAATAACTTCATTTGGTGATTGCTTTGAGCCTTGAAATTGAGAAAAACCCATTTTAGGAGTGGTGTTTAGCAAGGAAAATACATTTTAACCCAATTATCTAGCGTGAATGCATCTTTCAAAGGGTCATTGAAATCACTGACTTTTATATGACCTCTGTAATGTATCGGGGTGGGTCATAAGGATTTTTTACATACTGGTCAAAAATAAACTATGGACGACTTGTTGCAATGTAATTTTACTCCTGTACTTGCTGAAAAAGTAAGCTGGCCCAGACCAAAAGAAAGTGGCTCAAAACCACTAGACCAGTGCTTATTTTGCAAACCGTAATGTATGTGTTGTTTCTGTAGGTTGCAGCCCTGACTGAGTGGTTGGATAGAACAGAGTCCAACCTGACACTTCTCTCAACTGATGTACACTGTAGTGTAATGTATGTGTTTGTTTCTGTAGGTTGCAGCCCTGACTGAGTGGTTGGATAGAACAGAGTCCAACCTGACACTTCTCTCAACTGATGTACACTGTAGTGTAATGTATGTGTTTGTTTCTGTAGGTTGCAGCCCTGACTGAGTGGTTGGATAGAACAGAGTCCAACCTGACACTTCTCTCAACTGATGTACACTGTAGTGTAATGTATGTGTTTGTTTCTGTAGGTTGCAGCCCTGACTGAGTGGTTGGATAGAACAGAGTCCAACCTGACACTTCTCTCAACTGATGTACACTGTAGTGTAATGTATGTGTTTGTTTCTGTAGGTTGCAGCCCTGACTGAGTGGTTGGATAGAACAGAGTCCAACCTGACACTTCTCTCAACTGATGTACACTGTAGTGTAATGTATGTGTTTGTTTCTGTAGGTTGCAGCCCTGACTGAGTGGTTGGATAGAACAGAGTCCAACCTGACACTTCTCTCAACTGATGTACACTGTAGTGTAATGTATGTGTTTGTTTCTATAGGTTGCAGCCCTGACTGAGTGGTTGGATAGAACAGAGTCCAACCTGACACTTCTCTCAACTGATGTACACTGTAGTGTAATGTATGTGTTTGTTTCTGTAGGTTGCAGCCCTGACTGAGTGGTTGGATAGAACAGAGTCCAACCTGACACTTCTCTCAACTGATGTACACTGTAGTGTAATGTATGTGTTTGTTTCTGTAGGTTGCAGCCCTGACTGAGTGGTTGGATAGAACAGAGTCCAACCTGACACTTCTCTCAACTGATGTACACTGTAGTGTAATGTATGTGTTTGTTTCTGTAGGTTGCAGCCCTGACTGAGTGGTTGGATAGAACAGAGTCCAACCTGACACTTCTCTCAACTGATGTACACTGTAGTGTAATGTATGTGTTTGTTTCTGTAGGTTGCAGCCCTGACTGAGTGGTTGGATAGAACAGAGTCCAACCTGACACTTCTCTCAACTGATGTACACTGTAGTGTAATGTATGTGTTTGTTTCTGTAGGTTGCAGCCCTGACTGAGTGGTTGGATAGAACAGAGTCCAACCTGACACTTCTCTCAACTGATGTACACTGTAGTGTAATGTATGTGTTTGTTTCTGTAGGTTGCAGCCCTGACTGAGTGGTTGGATAGAACAGAGTCCAACCTGACACTTCTCTCAACTGATGTACACTGTAGTGTAATGTATGTGTTTGTTTCTGTAGGTTGCAGCCCTGACTGAGTGGTTGGATAGAACAGAGTCCAACCTGACACTTCTCTCAACTGATGTACACTGTAGTGTAATGTATGTGTTTGTTTCTGTAGGTTGCAGCCCTGACTGAGTGGTTGGATAGAACAGAGTCCAACCTGACACTTCTCTCAACTGATGTACACTGTAGTGTAATGTATGTGTTTGTTTCTGTAGGTTGCAGCCCTGACTGAGTGGTTGGATAGAACAGAGTCCAACCTGACACTTCTCTCAACTGATGTACACTGTAGTGTAATGTATGTGTTTGTTTCTGTAGGTTGCAGCCCTGACTGAGTGGTTGGATAGAACAGAGTCCAACCTGACACTTCTCTCAACTGATGTACACTGTAGTGTAATGTATGTGTTTGTTTCTATAGGTTGCAGCCCTGACTGAGTGGTTGGATAGGACAGAGTCCAACCTGACACTTCTCTCAACTGATGCTCCTAACCCTGAGGATCAACTCACCTTAGAGGAGCAACTGGTCCTGGTTAAGGTATTGAAATATGCTATACCTTGTACATGTATCAAAAATGATGATGAGATTTACACATTTTCAATTTATTTCTAAATCTTCTTCAGGTAAACTGAATCAGAATTATTTTCAATTATGACTGAAGAAGATTTAAAAATAAATCAAAAATTTGTAAATCCCAATCATTTTTGGTGTTTTTAACACTTATTAACATAATACATTGTATGTATCACCATAAGATTTCTTTATATTGTTTTACATATATTTAAAACAGCTTCTACAAATGAAAGTTAATATATGACTTTCTGGTACATGTATCTACAATATCTATTGAATTATCAATAAAAGCTCCAAGCTAGACTCATAGCATTGTTCCTTTAGACTTTCAAACGATGGATATACCATAAAAAGGCTGAATAGTTCCATATGTGAATTTTATCATGTTTAAATAAATCAAGATTTAGATTGTTATATCATATTATATCATTTACAACTTTTCCATTTCCCAATATATTTCAGGACAGTGATAGTGAACTACAGGAGCATGCAGTTGACCTTGAGCATATACAGATGGTCTCCCGTAGTCTCCTACAGGAGATCAAATTAAGTAAGGAATGTTTGTATATATAATGCAGATAATTTAAAGGGTGACCCAACAGAACATACAAATCTTTGAATCAAGGTTCTGGGTTATACCTTTTTGGGTCAACCTGTATGACCAAGTATTGCCATTTTTGAAAAAATGTGATATTATCATGAAAAATCATGACATTTACAAGTCTTGATTATGTATACAGTAAAATCTGTAAAGTAGAGGACCTTCACAAGTGGAACACTTTAAAGTTCTATTACTCATTAACTTAATGCAAAAGGAACCTCTGTATGTGGAACACTTTTCAAATGGAACCTTATTTAGAGGTAATACATGTGTTCCACTGACATGGGTTTAACTATATTTCAAGTTGATTATTACAGGAAATATTTTAGTTATTGTATTCATTCATTGAACATTTTTTGATTCATTGAAAATTTTACCTTTAAGGTGGAGAAAACCCTGAGCAAATTGAGAGTGTGTTGTCGCAACTAGAGTCACGTTGGAAAGAGTTGAATCTTCTCCTAGAGACCACACATGCCAATACGCTACTCGCCATGGAGACCAACAAGTTCTATGATGAGTTGAAATCTCTTCAGGAAATTGTGGGAAGCTACGAAAAGTGGATCTCAACATCTGAGAGGGTAAGTACTCATCTTATTTATTCCATGCTCATGTCTGTCGAATGTATAGTTCATGGAAAATGGCATACTGTGGATCTTATTTCAACCCCTATTATAAGAAAACCTAGGATAGCATCATCAGAGGAACAGTTAATTTTTCCACATTTTAAACAGACCTTTGTGTGGACATAAACAACATGGGCCAGTCTTTGAAAACAGCAACGAACATGCTATACAATGAACTACAAACCAATTAACTACAACTTCATCTAGTAAAATCAATTCTGTGAACTAGTAATCAGACAAAACATGAAAAATCCTAAAAGATCTCCTAAATCCTAAGATTAAAGATAGACTAAGAATAAAGTAATATTTCTGTGTGTTAAGGTGACTGAAGAGGCTAAATCCTAAAATGAAACAAAGGCCAGTAATAATATTGTATTTCTTTGTGTTAAGGTGGCTGAAGAGGCAACAGACATCAGTAAACAGTTGGAACAATGTCGTGTTAAACTGAAGGCAATGAAGGCTCATGATACAGAAGTTGAACGTGTGAATGACCAGTTGAACATCTTAAAAGTCCAGGCATCCAACCAGGAGCCTCTACAAGGAGATATGGACTCCCTAAACAATAGATGGTCCAGTGTCTACAAGAAAATAGGTAAAAATATATAGTGTGGAAATAATGGGTCACAAATAAAGTGGAGCACATCAGGGTGAAAATCAGTCACATACAAGGTGGAAATGGGGCACATACAAGGTGGAAATGGGGCACATACAATGTGGAAATGGGGCACATACAATTTGAAAGAGGGTAACATACAAGGTAGATGTTAGACCCACCTACATTGTGTAAGTGGGTCACATGCATTGTTTAAATAGGCCATAAGGTTGGGGGTCACAGCAGTACATTCCATAGAATGAATAGATGAATAAATTGGTGTCTGTATAGATATACTTCTTTTCTATTAATATTTGGTCGTTTTTTGAGGTTATGTGTTTAGTAGACTGTTTAGAAGTTATTCAACCCTCTATAATGCTAATGTCTACCCTCATAGTTTCTAATCATTTTCTGATGACCACCTTTTTACATGTAGTAACTAATCATTCTCTAACATCACCTGATGTTACAGTTATGATATTACATTAGAGGCACATAGACCTAATATTTCAATGTAGTTTCTTAAAGGTTCAGACCCATTTACTAACTTTTTTTAGACTGACAAAAACTGGTGTTATGGGTTAGCATCTTTAAGATATTTGACCTCAGTTTTCACATATTGATTTGCACTTGAATCAATCACCAGAAATGTTAATCAATTAATTTTTGTGCGATATTTGTATTGTTTCTTTTGAATGTTGAGTAGGCGCCCATTTGTGGTATTAACTATCGAGATTTATTTGTCACTTTCGTATGATGTTAGAGTTTGTATCTGACGGTGAGTTTATGTATTGCATGCTTCATGCTTCTCGTTTCGTGCTTCATCAATATACTTGCATAGTTTTAGTTTGTACTTTATGGTCTTCATGTACTCCTGTACTTTATGTACTGCACTCCCCTATGTATACTTTGACCTTGATGTACTCATGTATCTATATGTTCTCCTCGTTGTTATGTGCAATCTTCATGTAGTCATATATTTGGACTCTCCAACCTTCGTATACTCCTGTATGTACCATTATGTGACCTATGACCCTTTATTTACTCATGTATGTACTCTACAACCTTCATGTTCTCCTAAATCTCATTTGTACCGTACAACCCTCATCTACTCATGTTTGTACCGGTACATGATCTTTATGTACTCCTGTATGTACTGTACAACCACCATGTACTCATGTATATACTGTGTGACCTTATTTATGTACTATATGACCTTCATGTACTCCTCCTGTGCTGTATGACCTTTATGTACTCCTTTAGGTACTCTATGATCTTCATGTACTCCTCCTGTATATATTGTATGACCTTCATGTATTCTTGTATGTACTGTATGATTTTCATGTACTCCTTATGTGCTGTACGACCTTCATGTACTCATGTAGGTACTCTATGACCTTCATGTACTCCTGTATATATTGTAAACCATCATGTACTCCTGTATGTACTGAATGACCTTTATGTACTCATGTCTGTATTTTAGAGTATTATGTTGTTTGTATGTTCAAAGATATTCGTATTCTACACAATAAGTGAAATGAGAAGAAGTGGAGTGTAATTGTGTACCTTGTGGAAAATATGGAAATGAAGCATGTCTCTAAATTGTCAAATTATCTCTGATTGGTGTTTTGAATTGTTGTAATAATCATTAAGAATTCTAACATCTCAGGCAGTCGACTATCAATTATTGGTGCATGTTACAGTGCATGTTATCTGAGGATTTAGTAGAATTTGTGACAGGCTTAGAATCATTGCTTTTGGAATAATATGGGAAGATAGTGGGATATTGTACAATATGATGGTGTGGCTACTTATTGTGAACTTCATTAAATGATTAATAAACTCAATGTATTTTGCATTTAGATAAATACATACTTTTTGTTTCTGTGTTTCACAGGTGAACGCCAACAACTTCTCAGTGAGGCTTTATCCAAGGCCCCACCTAAGGCCTTCCTTGAGGCCATGGAGGCCCTGGACAAGTGGGTCAGAGATGTTGAATCAACCGTCCAATCAGAAGCCTTCCAAGTACAGGAAGTTGATATAATGGAGGATCAGATCAGTCAGTTCAAGGTTTGTGAAAATAATTTATAAAATTTCCATAACTGACATTTGTATGCAGTTATTTTGGCACTTTCACTCTCAAGAAAAACTGTTTCTTTGATATTCACACCAAAAAGTGACAGGTTTGAAATTTTTTCATTCACTGAAGCATACAAATTCCCATAATACATTCGTACTTATCAGACATTTCAATCTAATATACCATAAAGATTGCACATCTATCCCATAATGCATCAAGATTTTGCAGACGTTCCAATGAAATATGTTCCAGGAATTGCAGTCTGATGTGGAAGACCATGTTGCAAGCCTGGACTACATCAACCAAACTGGACAGGATCTGATAGCTAAGGCATCATCAGAGAAAGCTGAGAAGCTTGAGGATGACTTGAAAGGGTTGAATGATAGATGGCAGGGTGTTACTGTTGCTATAGAGGAGCGTCTTGCATTGCTTAGTAACAGCTTGGATCAGTTACGACAGCAGCAGGTGCAGTAGATTTTTTGTTCAACCAAATTAGTAGTGTACGATATCTGAAGATTTTATGAAAACTATATCAACGAAAAAATGAAAAAATTGAGGATTTGTACCATTACAATTATTTGTATATTGTGGAATATATTTTCCATATAGAGCCAAAAATTTTAAAATTTGAACAATAATTGTTACCATTATTTGTAAAATGGAGGTTAGATATTATGGGATATATTTTTTTTGATATAGAGCCAGGTTGGAGGTCTTACACGCTGGATGGAGGAGATGGACCTGTTCCTACATGCTGAGGAGGCAGCTGTGGGGGATATGGATACACTGCATGCCCAACTGCAGGAGAGCGATGTAAGAACAATTTGTATAATGTTTTTTGAACATTCTTATTCAGGCATCATGGGCTTATGTAATGGGAGTTCATACAATTTGGGGTCATTATCCATCTAGATTCACAAGGTTTGAGTTCACATCTCACTACCTACAGACTCTAGACCCAATGGAATCAAGGATGGTCATTAATGAAAAACAGACTCCACTTATACCATATACAGTATTTCACATATTCTCCATGCATATCCTTTAATTTTATATCTGCAGGGTGTTCAAGAAGATATTGGAACCTTACAGTTAAATGTAGAAAACATCAACAACACATCCGTGCAGCTTATCAAAAGCGCCAGTCCTGAGTTTGCTGAAAAACTTCAAGCTGAAGTCACAGAGTTGAACAGCAAATGGGAAATTGTTGTGCAGTTATCGCGGGAACAAAATGGCCGTCTCCGTAAAGCATTGGAGAAAAGTGAGCAGCTGAGACAACGGGTGGCTGAACTGCAAGCGTGGATAGAGAGTGTACTTAGTGAACATCTGAATAAAGATTATATCGTTGATGATCACACCTACCTTTTGGCTCTTAATAAGAAGTTTAAGGTACAATGAAATATTCTTATATTATTGTTTAAAAAAGTATCTTTGAATATTTGGGAAAAGTTCTTATTCCTGTATTTTTTGAAGTTTTATTTGATTTAAATGAAAGTACATGTATAACAAACTGATTAGCTCTTAGCATATTTTCTTATGTATTTTTATTATCTCACTTTTTCAAAGTGCTATATTGTTGTCATCTTGTTATATTTATTATGCATTTTGCCATTGGGGGTGCCATGATTTGTGGCGTGTCATGGAAAATGGATGCATTTTTTATTGTGCTATATTTTTATCTGTTTTATTGGTAATGAAACTACAAACCAAGGATTTTAGTTAACTAAACAGTGTCAATAGCATACAAATTATACAACATATTAAGTCACTGTCTTTATTGTCAAATGATGTTTCATGTTGTTATTCCCTAGTATATAAATGAATGTTTCTAGAAACTTCAAAATGATGTTGCTGACAAGAGTGCTGAGGTTGATGAAGTGGAGAGAATGTGTAATGAAGTGTTAGCTTCAGGTCCAGAGGCAGGCCTACCTGAGACCTCTTCCTCCCTTGCACAGTTAACCAGCAATTGGGCACAGCTACAGCAGAAGACCAAAGACTCTGCACAAAGGTTACAACTTGCAACTCAGAACTGGGACCAGCTAAATGGTACCTCCTTTTTACATTTTTGGTTCTCTGATCCTAAATAGAGAAATAGTCAACTAAGTTGAAAAATTGCACTCAGCATACTTCCCAAAATAGCTTTGGTGCACAATTCCAACAAAGTTTTGCATTCTAAAACAAACTAAAATAAAAAAAGTGTACTTTTATTATATGGGATATAGCCAAATCGGAATATTATTTAACCTCAATCCTTGAGTTTTTGCTACTCATTTCTTGTACAAAATCATGACAAATTGTTATGGTCTAGTTAAATATGAGAATATTATAGATGGCGATAAATGACTTGGTTACAGGTTTACTAGAAGAGGAGAACAGTTACCTTGACAACCTGGAGAAGATGCTGAATGCCTCACCAAAGTCCAGTGCTGATGCCGAGGAGATCTCTGAGGAATTAGACGTAAGAAAACATATTTGGTCTTCGTTTCTTCTTTGTTTGCATTCACATACATTTTACTAATATATCGACTCATGTGCTTAATTTCAATTTGTATTATGAAATGTATTCACAAGGAAAGGCTTATCAAGAGTGGTTTTCTTAAAGTGTACAAAGTTATAGTCATAATACAGGAGGAAGAAGTGTCAGTCTAAGAAAATCATATTGTTAAACAAATTTGGTTTTCCTGTAAAGTAGAATGACTTCCCCATTATATCCATGACATTAGACATATTGTTTCAAAAAACACTTATTTTATCTACAGGAACTTGAATCATTTGTGCGCGAGCATTCACTCCAGAATAAATCTGATATTGAGGCTGTAAGCGAGACATTGATCAATGATCACATAATGGCAGATGTTGTTCAGAAACAAATGGACACTTTCACGCTACGTTTCACTCAGCTAGACCAGCAGGCCAAGCAACGTATCGAGACCCTGGAGCTGTCAATCACGCAGGCTCAGAACATGGAACGCCAGATGTTGGAGATGTCGCAGTGGGTGATGGAGGTCCATGATCTTCTGCAGTCACGACTTGATGCTGATATGCTGGCTGGTAAGGATATCATTCTTACACATTCTGATATGAAAGGTGTGACACTAAATCAAGATATTGAGAAAGTACAGTGTGAAACACAATATACAACATTGTGAACACAAAACTGATTTTAAAATGTGAAAGTGGGCAACCAGGCTTGGAAAATTGTGTTTAGATAACGCTTGAAATTGTTTAGAATAAGGACTGTAATTGCTAATTATAACTTAATTTTGGATCTCAATTACAGTACAGAGATTTTCCAACAAATTGCTTTAATTAATAGTTTCACTGCAGACACTCCTACATTCTTTGCCATTTGATTGGTGGTTATATTTGTTGTTCAATGCCTCTATGTTTCCCAACAGGAGATATGCCAGATGAGTACGAGTCTCTGAAGACAGAGTTTAGTCAGCAAGAGGCATTCCTAGATGACCTCTCCAAGCAGGTAGCAGAGTACAAAATGGCAGGGAAGATAGAAGCTGCTAGTAGGCTGGAGCAACAGATTGTCCTCTTAAAGGTATGTTTTGTCCTCCTTGTGGTAACATATTGTCCTTGAGGTGACATTGTCCACCTTCATTAACCTCCTTGAAGTAACATCATTCTCCTTGAAGTACCATTATCCTCACTGAGGTATCATTGTCCTCCTTGAAGTGACATTGTCCTTGAAGTAACATTGTCCTCCTTCAAGTACCATCGTCCTCATTGAGGTATCATTGTCCTTGAAGTAACATTGTCATCCTTGAAGTAACATTGTCCTCATTCAGGTATCATTGTCCTCCTTGAAGTAACAGAATAAAAAATTTACCAATTAAGTATACTACTTTTCAGTCCCACTTCACAGAGGTTGAAGTAAAATTCAAAAAATTCCAACGTCCTATAGACTTTGAACCAAAGTTAAGCCACACTAAACGTGTCTTGGATGAAGTAGAAGAGCGAATACATCTTATAGAGTTACGCAGTGAAGATCCTGAAGTGGTGCAGACCCAACTTGATCAATGCATGGTAAGTGTTCACCTGTGGCTCATAAAAAGTCACTTTGAAACCCCAATTATGCTAATAACATGTTTTCTGATGCAGAGTCTGAACTGACCTTTTTTTATGGTTTTCACAATTTAAAGTATCAATAGACTGATGTTGAGGCATCATTGGCTTGCCTTTTTCATTATAATTTTTGACTTTTCAGTTCCATTCAATTTAGTTGACTATGTTTTGTGTACACCCCGAATCCACACTCTGAAATCTGTTTGAGTCTATGGTACAGTATGGTACAGTACGATGCCATATTTTAAAAGCTGAAATGGTTCTGGACAGTACTGTTGTGAATTGGTAGTGTAAGTAATTACAGCATTCCTTATTCAGTCTTAATTGTGATCGAAATGTCATATTATGTGTTTTCATGCTTTACAAACCTTGCATTTTTCAGAAATTCTACAAGAACCTGAGTGAGATCAAAGGAGAGGTGGAATATGTTATCAAAACAGGCAGGAAGATTGTAGAACAGAGACAGGTTGACTTCCCTGACAAACTAAGTGCTCAGCTAGATGCCATTAAGATGCAGTATAATGAACTAGGATCACAGGTACTTGATTTTGTTGCACCTTCCAGGATACCATATCCTTACCTGGAACAAAATCAGTATCCTTTAAACAACAGTCAACTTGAAACACCAACAAAACAATAAATTTCATATCAAGCTTGAAGATTAATTTTAGGATGTCCCTTTCTTAATATTAATGAATTTGGAATTTGGACACAACGAAGATTGCTTCCAACATTTTACACTCTGTCCCTTGTGATTTCTTAAGTATTTTATGCCATCTATTTCTAATGACGTAACATTTCTAGGTGACCAGTGGTAAAGCAGACCTAGAGAAAGCACTGAAGTTGGCCAAGAAGTTGCAGCGAGAAGTGACCACTCTACAGACATGGGTCAACAAGACAGCAGCCCAGCTGAACAGGAAAGAAGCCATACTTGCCCCCAGGAACATTGAAGAGGAATACAAGTGGATTGAGGTACTCATTTTATCACATTTACAACCCTCAAGTCTTGCCTCAATTCATGCCAATCACATTCTCACTTGACATTAAAGGAGCTCATGATTAGAGCCATTTTGCCCTTGGGTCCCTTTATGGTGTTGTCATATCTGCAAGTAATGTTTATTGACACATATGATTTTGGTTACAAAACTTGGAATGAAAAAGTTTCATCAGTTGGAAATGAATACTATTTTGATATTAATTTTGAATATTTTGAATACATCCTTGGTTCATCTATGGATTTTTGATTTTTCAGACAAAAGAGCGAGAACAGGAAAGTCAGGGAGCAAATCTTGCTTCGTTGGATGATATCCTCAACCAATTACAAGATTTGGCTACCGATGAAGGTGTGCTACAGGGAGCCAATCACAACAACCGTCAGCTTCACCTCCAATGGGAGAATTTGGAGACGAGACTCGCTGCTCGACGTAGTTCTCTACAGGTATTGCTATTTCTTGCTTTCAGAGCATGCATGGGCAAAAAGGCTTTTTTCAGATGAAATATATAACATTTATTATCTTACCAAATTATGTTGGGAAAACGAGACATTCACCATCCACCTGCCATTACACCCCTCAAAAAATTTGGTGGCTGGTGATTGCTCCTCCGTGGAGATGCCATTTAAAGTTATGGTCTTAGTCCCTTGTTAAAAATGGCTTGCATATATAAGCTTTATTCTTGCTGTGGTATTACATCATCTTAAATCAACTTAAACACTGTATTAATAATTAATGAAGGCCTTTAAAACAACAAAACTTAAATAAACTAATCACAGACCCAGCTTATAAGTAATAAAAAATTATATCTATTTGAAAATATTTCCATGTACTAAAGTTCAAGCCTATTAAACACTCCCATTTATTGTCATTATTAAAAGATTGAATTTTGAATAATTAGTCTAATAAGAGGGGGAGAAACCCCAGGGTTCAAATATGATGACATACGCTTATAATGTAAATCTGTATTGAGATGACATCGTCGCTGATTGGTTTAGGTCAATTTGAAAACTTTGAAAACCAAGATGGAGGGAAGTATAAATATACATACTTCAGGGAAAGGAGGTGCGCGAAGGAGGAGGAAATCGTATGTCATCAATTGAATCATGGGATTTTCCCTCCTCTTTAATCTAGTGGTTTCTAACTTACACTTATCTGTCTACTGATTGGTTAAAACACTAAGAGGCTATCTGTTGTATAACCTATACTAGTCAGATCACAGATATCTAAAGGTTTTGCTTCATAAGTTGTCAGTTAGTTTATTGCAATGCAGTGTTCTCCTCAGCTTACAACTGGAGTAGTTATTAAACATCTGAAGAATACCTTGCACTCAGTTCAAAATTTATTTATACGCAGTTGAAAATTCTTATCTAGCTTCATCAAGCTTGCCTGGTTGAACGTCGTGAATGATCGTTGGGGCCTACAATGACTATTTTCAGAATCACGAAAACTGGATGTATTTCTTACTAGATGAATTAAAACAAGAATTGTTTGCCCCAGTCAAGTAAAATTCCTGAGGAGAACACTGTAAAAGACTAACAGCTACTATATCAGCATGGTTATGTGGCTTGTTTTCTATATTATGATATCATTAACACATTCTAGGAACAGAATCAGAAGCTAGAGGAGATCTATGTTGACTTCCAGTCATCCATAGGTATCATAACACAGTGGCTAGAAACAATGGAACCACAACTAGCCAGGCCAATGACTGACTCAGATATAGACACTGTAAAGGTAATTCTAACATTTATATTAAGGTAGGCAGAGAATGAGTAATTTCTGGTACATTTCTGTAAACATTCTTATATACTTGAGAACTCGATAGATGGTATAAAAATGAGTGGGTTAGATTGTGAATATGATAAGTCTCACAAATTGATTTTGTCAGTAGATGTATTGCCAAAATAAATTGATATTTTATCTTCTGTAATGATACACTCATCCCCTGCCATCTATACGAGACTCAAATAACATTGATTTTGGACTTACTGAGTAAAGAATAGACCCCATAGTAATTATTATTGATTTATATGTCATGTGGGAATGTATCTAAAACTCATCGACTTCGCCTACCTTAATCTCGCCATGTACATGTATTTTCTGATTGCACTCCCATTTTGAATGGTGGCATATTTTTCTGTCGTTTTCTTTTAACAGTGACATCCTTAATGCATGTTCAGTACAATATTACCTTCCTTCCCAGCCCTGTTTTACTGACAGTAATTGAAGGTTAAGTATTTTTTCTTTTTAAAAGTAACTTGGTATTTGGAAGAAATTCTATGTTCAACAAGCAAGGCAAAACTTAATTTCTCCTCTGGCCTTTTGGTATTTCAGAGAATGTTTGTTTTTGAAGAAATGTTTTTATCTCAGAAAAATCTGAAATGTTAAAAACAATAAACAATTGTCATGTCATTATACAATATTTAAATAAATATATATACATGTAGTACTATATATTTATATTAAATAAATAAATTAATTAATTAATGTTCACTAATATTGTGCTCTGTGTTTACACCCCCTCCCCCCTCATTCTTAATTGTCTGTTCTCATTCTCAATCTTAAGTGGTTGAGGAAATGAGAAAGGAGGGGGGTTCTGAGGCTTGATAAATGACTTAAACCACCATAGAAATTTGATTCAAAGATTTATTTCCTCGATGTCAAATAATATTGGTTTGTCCTCACAGTTATAAGATGATAATGTCAGCTGAGACATCTATCATGTTGATATGAACACGGAGTGTGTCAAATTGAACATTTATCAAATGCCAATATTGACATCCATACTGTGTATTTCCTCAAATCTCAGTGCTTAGAAAATCTATATCATTTACATTAGTCTGACTTAACTCAAATCTCTCTACCAAACATAGCACTTTGTAAATAAGGAACATGCACCAAAGTCAAATTCATTACTATTCTAACTTTCAGGTATTTCTAGTGCCCTTTTATAAGCAATTGGTGTGTAAAAATTGAGTGTTATAAATATTATCGCTTATTGCTTTCTCTGGTCTAAGATTTATTTGCAATTATGGTTTTATTATGTTCCATAGAATCACATTTCTCGTAGATTTCCAGAAAATCAATTTTTGAGTTAATAAAAGTGTTATTGACACCTTTAGGTAGAAAAAGGTCAATGGGATTATGTCCTTTCAAAGTATATTGCATATTTCTTTAAAGAATTCTATATTTAAGAACAAAAATCTAACAATTGATTTTTCGGAAGAAAACTCGCCACTGGGTCGTAAAATTATCTTGACATTCCTGATTTGTCATAAATTGGTTTCTCATTATGATGTCATAATTGCATTGGTAACAATAAGGGATTAGATTATTTCTCAGTTTACTTCAGATTAAGTTATTTACCCCTTGTGCAGTACTCTGGTCCTTAGCATCCTCTCATTGTTTTTACGCAAAAAGGCAACATACATGTACACTATTTTAATAGGGATTTCAAAGTGGGAGCATTTTACCCTTTTATATTGACCTTTGTCCTATTTAATTTTATTAATCCTGAAAACATCTTCCAACATTCAATAGAAAAATCTATCAATGTTCAGAATGAATTATGTACAAATTGATAAACCTGAAATAGAAGAAACATGTTGGTGTGCCTTTCTTAATTCAAAAATTTTGTAATTCCTCACTTATGAAATCATAAATGTAATTTACCCCCTCCCTTACTCTTGAAAATTGGCTAAATATCCATGTTTATGCTTTATTTCCAATTAAGAAATTAGAACAATCTTCAATGAGTTAATCTAACAGCTAAAATAAGTCCTGTATATAAACAAGAAGAACATAACGGTTTTGTGAAACTCATAACTGAGTTGCCTTTTAAATAAGTTCACATCTGAGCACTCTCCCAGTTGTATGCAACACTACAATGAAATATTTGGACAACTCTGGGTGAAATGAGTTTTCTTAGGACAAACTGAGATATCTGTAGAAAGGTCTTTAATCAGTGAAGTGGAAGCAGACTAAACTAATACATAAATCTAATCTTAACCAACTGGAATAATATTTATTAAGTAATGTAACCATGACCAGTTATCCTTACAAAATTCCAAACATTTTCATTGAATTTTCCAACAAATTGAACATTGAACAAAATTTGGGTGGGTGGTGTATATATCAATGTTGACTTCATATTAATTCATCCCTGTTGTAATATGTTTCCGTGGTTTTTAGAAGGCATAGGACTGGTATATTAAATTGTATAAAAGAGAAGTTGAGGAATGTTTTAGGAATGTGTTATTGGGTCATATTGATTGATTTTGCTAATATCTGAGTCCCTTTTGATTATTGCATATATAATCTCATATTTTCATAATGAAAATGGTAAACATGAATTTTCTACACTAAATCGATTGTAAAATGTTTAATTTGGAGATTGGAGTTTATTCTTTTAGTTAACATGTACCATGTGCTTTCAAAATGTTTTTATTCTCTGGAAGTAACATCATCTTACGCATCAAAAGGGTTTCGATAAATTACCTTACATAAAATACAATCACAATGGCTGAGGTCACTCTCAAGATATTGTTAAGTACATAGAATTTACGAGAAATTAATATAAAAATACAAACTGATTTCATTGGTACTCAAAACTTCTGGTATTTCCAAAGAAAAATCAAGGAAATTAGATGATCGCGATGAAATTTTTTGATAGGTCTCTTGTATTTGTATAGTCAGTTACAGGAAACCTTGTATAAACTAGATATCATATTCTGAAAGATTTTTTATGCTGAGGCATTACCTGGATGTGTCTGAAGATTCATCTTCTAATGAAAACATAAGAAAAGTAACATTTGCATATCTTCACCTAAGAGGAAAAAACGATTTATGAGAGTTATTGATGATTTTTCAGTTGGAGCTGAAATTAGTATTAGTTATGGATTATAAGTGGGATTATCATCTTTAAAAGATCAATTAGTGCATTAATCTGTTAATCTCTGATCTCACAACATGGGTGCTCAGAGAAAGAACACAAGATCAAAAAACTTAAATAACAGAGGATAACACAGGATAACGATATTACCCCAGGGACTATTCATGTATCTTATTATCAACTACACAAAATGAACAGGAGTTATCAATTCATTACATAAATCCCTATCGGCTTTTTACCATGTTAAACTATTGCGGAAGCAGGGAAGGATTAATTCATCTAAGATTGAATAACAAATAATTTGTCATCTAGGTTCATTTTGACACTTGTTTTGAATTCTCGTAGTTAGCAGAATCTGTTAACATTACATTTTTCAAAATTTAAATCATGGATAGACACCAACATATAAAGGTAGAGAAGCATGGTATTTCACATTTTTTTACATGGTATTTCACATTTTCCCACATTTCTTATGCGGTATTTCACATATCCTCACATATTCACTTTTTGTAAGAGACAATTAGGTGATAGATTTTGATTCCATTCTCAATGATTTGCTCATGAAAACTAAGTAAATGAAAATAACTCTGACATTTGGGTATATTCATTTCATTTTTATGAGGCAAGACATAGTTAGATTTCATTTTTATGAGGCAAGACATAGTTAGATTTCATTTTTATGAGGCAAGACATAGTTAGATTTCATTTTTATGAGGCAAGACATAGTTAGATTTCATTTTTATGAGGCAAGACATAGTTAGATTTCATTTTATGAGGCATATGTAATACTTTTAAGGAGCTAAGATTTCTTTTTGATGAGGCAGTATACCAATGTAGATGGAAAAACACGGAAAGATGGAAAGACAATGATATCATTATAATATACAGCTTTCATTTTTCAATGGAAATGAAAAATCTGTGGCCGTCATAGACATATAGAGAACAAATGTTATACTATTGACCCCTTCATAGGTAGACAATACCCCCGTGTGGCCAAACAGAATGTAGTATTTAAATGTACAATTATTTATATTCTACTTTCAGACTATGCAACTAGAACTGAACGACCTGCGTAGTCAAGTTGATGAAGTTCGAGACAAAGCATTGGATCTGATGAACAAAAACGAGAAATATCAACGTATCGTAGAGCCTGAGTTGACCCACATGAACGAACGCTGGGAGGATGTGTCCAATACCATCAGGGAGCGTGTAAAGAGCAGCCAGGTGCATGAGACTGTGAATACAGTAGTCCTGAATGATGAAGAGCTGGAGGAAAGACTTGAAAGAGCCTCTGATGCAGTTGCCCTGCTTGACTCTAATAAAAAGGTACTCCAAACATATTTATTTATTTATTATTTAGACGTACACTTTTATATCAGTGGCACACTAAAAATATTTAGGTGCGTCTACAGTCAAAATACATACATGATCATTAAAATATCTAAAATAGTTCTTATAAGTCAGGAAAATCATATGAAAATGATATCAGTCTTCATGTGTATTTTAGGCTTTTCTCTCTAAAGTTCAAATGAATTTCCTAATTTTCTTGCATTTCTGTACAATTAAGAGTGTTATCTACATGCCTGTCTTGTTTTATTCTTTGCAAATTGGTCTTTAATCCTCAATGTTTACTTTGCTTTTTAAAACATCACCTTCCTTATAGAGATAAATTCTCAAAATAAAACTGATGATAGAATTTTGAGAAATGCGTGTCGGGAGGAACTGAAGCATAAAATTACCACATGGATTGATTACATCAGATATCTAGATTCAAGATTCAGTTTACAAAACATCAGTAGTACTGTTAGTGACCTCTTTTTCAAGAGATGGAAAACACTTGAACTCAGGGGTCTTGATTATTTATAATCTGCAACATCTTTGTAACCCTGTCATTGGCGAGTGAAAATGGTCTGTTGCCTGCTGCTAATGAGACCCCTGACCCATTTAAGAAACTTAACCATTCAATAAGTGCCATATACTCTACTTATAGGGAGAAGAATTGTCTCAACTACAGCAAGAGGTCCAAATACTAGTTGTTCATGGGGAACAATTGGTGAGAGACATAGAAAAAGATGATCCACAGAAAGCTGCAGCTATAGAACAGAAGCTACATTTACTCAAGGTGAGCTGGAGAAGTACAGTAAAACCTGTAGATTTGAACACTTCTTAATCTGGACACTTTTTCATTTTTTTTTCATTATTAAGATAAATTTTTTTCATTACAAGATATAAAATTATACATCCCTTCAATCGCCCACTTTTTCAGTCGTATTCTTAAATCTGCCATAGGCTTCCACGAGAAAAACCTTGAAATGTGAACATCTTCTGTTTTGTACACTTTTGGCTGATCCCAGTAGCAATCAAATTAGACAAGTTTTATTATAGCTAGACTTTGAAACTTTTTGGAATCCAGGCATTTACATTTTATAGAAAATACCACTCAAAAGATGTAATACACTGTATCAATATCTGTTGAGAAAAACAGTTCTGAGATCTGAAGAGACTGCTATGCCATCTATATGATACTATATCTCTTGATAATAATGCTTCTCATGAATATAAAAATACCTCATTGTTACATTCATTTGTCAGTCTGTCTATTTTCAACATTAGTAATATCATAACTTGATGAAGCATTCAACTTTGACAACAACACTTACAGCTTATTCTTGTACTTGTAGAGTCGCTGGGGCAATCTTTGTGTATCAGAGACCATTGTTACCACAGAGACCATCATCACATCTGAATCTACCCAACCTGAATCTACCGCAATAAGAACTTCAGACATCACACAAAATGCTGGTGTTACAGACAATATAGAAAGTAGAAAAACATTGCAATATACCGAGGAAGTTAAACCAGAAACTATTGAAACACAAATTGAAACAGTTGTTGAATCTAAGAAGCAAGAACCTGAGAAGACTGAACTGAAGGTGCAACAATTGACTGTATGGTTAACAGAGTTTGAGACCAGGTTCTACCAAGTCAGGCATAACCCAGCAGCATTAGCGGTAAGTTAGTAAAAAGTGTTACCAACCCAGAGGATATTTAGATCAGACTAAAGAGACAAGTACAGATGTAAGATATTAACAGTTCGAGACAGTGTATTTTACAAAAACTATCCAAATAAAACCAACTTGCATTTTTATTTCACCACCAAAAAAAGGTGACATATATTTTTGTTATGGCCTCCATTTTTTGTGATGGGGTTTAGCCTCTGTAACAAATGGTAGGTGGTGACATTTTGTATGTTAACGCCTTGTTATTATTATTCACATGAGTGGTGCGTAAAAAGTACTGCAAAACAAGAGAAAATTCAGACCAGATAGACTATACTTAGAACAAATGTAAGATATTTAATAGAACAAGACAGTGCATTTATAAAAAAGATATCCAAATAAAGCCAGCTCACATTTTTATACCAGAATGTTCATTTTAAAATGAAATTCAGAAGAGACACAATTATCTCAAATAGGACTGTTTTAAAAAAATTATAATCTGTAAAAATATCTCACAACGGGTACATTAGCATTAAGGATAAGCATTTCTAAAATATATCCATGGTTTACCAGTTCTCCATTTGATGGGATTTTTGAACATTTTCATAAAAAAAATTAAACATTGCTTGAAGCTCTGATTAATGGATGAAAATTGTTTTATTTACAAGGTTGAGGATGAATTATATTGCAAAGGTCAAGGTAACAAATAACTGAGAGGCATGCATACATTTATTTGTATTTAATACACACAGAATGTCATGTAGTCAGTTTTAATTCAGTGTGACATTTTGGTAGATTCAATATTCAAGTTACAGGCTAAACAATTTTTTTAATGTATTTTGACTCATGTGTATATAAACACATATTCAGCTGCTCATGTTACATAGCTCATAGACATTTTCTCTATTCTTGAATTCAGTGGTATACATCAAACTCATTGAGTTTTTTATGATATGATAAATTTCATCTAACTTCCACATATGTACTGTACAAAATTAATTTTCTTTTGAATTTATCACCATTATTTAGTGAACTGACCCATATGCATGTATTTGACATAGATACATGTTCCCCTATATAACTATGCCATTTCCACTCTGTGAGCCTATGAAATAATATGAGCTTTTGGAATCACATACTCCCTTTTATTAGCTATAAATGCCATAATAATTCGAATGAATATAGAAGTTATTGTCATCATATATATACATAGACCTGCATCTGTATGTAGTGTTATATAAAAAGTTGAATTAATAGAGACACCGTGCATCTAGATGCTTATCAAAGGTAAGTGTCAAACATCACTCCCTTTCAAATCAGTAATATATACCACTTTTATATTCCACACGTCTGTATTTTAGATCTAACAGGAATGAAATGAAATATCAATAAAAAGATTTTGATAGACAGCAACTTGAAGAATAAATATTTCAATATGTCATGTTTATTTTCTTGTACAGTTAAAATGAGTATTTGAAAGATTTGAATGGTTCACAAAATGATTTGAAAGGTACTTTTATATCTTTCCAGTGGTCGTGATTATTCACATATCTATATGCAAATATTAAAATAAAAAACATAAACATTTGGGAACATGTTAAACTCTCAAACACTTTAAATGCTCACTCTAGAGCAGTGGGAGGATGTTACGAGATAATCACAAGATAACAAAATTAAAAATATTTTTACGAACTTTTTTTAACCCAAAATCATGATTAGCAGTTTGTCAAATAAAAACATCATTCTTTATGACATTTTATGCTCTAAACTTAGGAGGATTTAACAAAAAAATAATCAAATAAAAAATAATCAAATAAATAAACTGTAAAATCACAGATAGAGCATAGAGTATAATTGGATTTAGACAAGAATAGGATTTCGCAGATTCGGTATTCTTCAATGATGTAACATGATAGTGTTATGCTATTGTAGTCTATAATCAGTGAGGATTTAAAGTTGACAATGCTTGGAAATGACATAGTAGAGCTCTTTTATTATATTTATCATGGCATTTTGCTATTTATTATAGCAATACACCTGATCACTCATGTAAGTCAGTCATCTGAGAGGACACTTGTATTATAGAAAGCAGGACATACACTTTTTAACTCAGTTTTGTGTTTTTTCTTTTAAATATTAAGTAAATGCCAGAATGTTAATACATGTATAGGCTAAAAAGATGAATGCCTTGTTAGGAGAGGTACCAGCCAAGAAGTGTTATGATAGCTCTACATAGCATCTTGCCTGGTGTGATGTCATAAGGTTATGTTGTGATGCCATGAAGGTTCTTCTAAATATGAAAAAAAACTTTCGAAAATTTTTTGAAATCTTAAAGAACGTTTCAGATACCAGATTTTGATAACATTGAGTAAGACTACAATAGTTATTAAAAAGTTATTAAAGTTATTTAAAATTTACAATTGAGCCTTTCAGCACTTATGTCACTTTTTGTTTTATTTCAGGTTCTGAAAGAAGAACTAAAGAGTCATGAGAAAGAACTAGATGAGGCTTCAAGCTCCTCCCAGAATGCATCATTCTCTAATAGGTGGCGTGAGTTACAGGCTCAGGTCCGACAACCTTCTGGTGATGATGTCACTATGGAGACTTCCATTTCCACAGAGAGCTCTATTCCTGTTGCCATGGAAATGGAGAGTTCTCCAACAACAACAGTTTCAGGAGATAGCTCCATGACAAAGACTGTTGTTACCACAGTCGTTGAGACACTGACACATGTGAATGATGACTCTGAGACACCTGTGAAAGTTGAAGAATTAGAAACTTCATTAGATACAACTGATTATGAGACACAATTGGACACTCTTGAGACACAATTGGATACCATAGAAACAAGTGAAGATCCCTTCGAGTCAGATTTAATTGTAGAAACTACGCAAACAGTTGTTGCAAATGAGCCAACACTGAACACAACCAAATCAAAAACAGACACCTCTGAAACTAAAATGGACACTTCTGAAGTGCATGCATCCAGTTCTGAGTCACAAAATGTTGAGACATCTACTTCAAGTAGGACAGTTACAACCACTGTTGGTGAGACTGTCACTCATGTAGTTAAAGCGGATGAATCTAATGCTGTGATTGAAAAGTCTATAACTGAGACTGAGGAAGCCAGCAGAGACACCAATGCAGTGATTGAGAGGCTAGAAGGAGTCATTAACGCTGTGAAAGATATTGATCACCAACTAGAGACTGTTGTTGTCGATGTGAAAGATGATGAGCGCAGTTCACTGGAGGTTAGTGTAAAAATTTTTTTTAATGTATATTATTTATTAATTTTATGAAGAATGATTGTACAGGCTTTGGTGGTTGGCCAATATCATAATCAGTTACTTTCATAAAACTGTCATTACATGATTTATTTTTGTCCATGAATGCTTCTTCTCTTTTCATTTCTCGTTTTCATCCTTAATGCTTTTCAAATGGATGAAGGTTGCATGAGAAAAAAAACTGTACATGTTATTGGATACTTTCCTGTTAAGATACTGGGCGTATAATTATGACATCTTTTGAATTGCTATTAAATGATCAGACATATATTCTGTTTTTCAATATTCGTAAATTGTCTTATATTTATGTTTATGTTTATATTTATTTCCTTTTTTAAATTCACACAAATATACAATGCATGAGTGGGTGACACTTAAAAAGTGTATATATTCCCAACAAATTTTTACAATGAAAGTTGTGTGTTGTCATACCTGTTAAAGTGCAGTTGGGGACTTGTCTTTGCATTCAACCATACAAATGATATACTTCTGGGGTTCCATATCATTTATCTTCATGAATGATGTATTTGGAATTGATTATGCCTGGTTGCATCAGTTTTACATATAACCACTTTGTTATAGTCTCTGATTTTTTATGGATGGCATTTGGTGGTTTATATTTGGCGGTTGGCCTCTGTAAAAAGGCAGTTGGTGAGATTTTGCAGTAATCTGTATTTTCTACATACTCTCCATGTTCTTGGTTTATGATGAGAAACCCCTGCACATATATTCCCCTTGTGTTTCATCAGATTTAAGAACACTTAAACAGTCTCCAAACACAAGGAGATTGTTTAATATGAAGATGTTTAAACCAGTGATTGATGCTTAATATTACCCCCTGGCCATGAGATAAGATGTTTCAGGTGAAGTGTTGATGTTTAAACTTCACTCCTGATCGAACACATCCTACCTATAGGTGATATTATTGCATATGCCTTGAATGTAAATGTATTTGATGACCTTTACTTGTAAGTTAATGTTGAGTGTTAAGCTTGCTATTGGTATGAATCTCTGTTTTTGATTGGGCAATTGTTGCAGGCTTTAAAACAATGGAAGGTGTTATTTAATTTCATCTTTTTGCCTCATTTGATTTTTCATCAAGGTCTTGAGTTGGTCTAATATGACGCCATGAACATTCCTTTTACATTTGCTTTGAATCTTCAGATTAAAAGAATACAGTTGTTAAATAGTTTCAGATAATACTAATTATAAAGAGGATTAAGTAAGCCAGAATTCAAAAGTGAACCTAATGTAAAGATGAAACTCTGAATTCTGGGTTATATCCCTCTGTTGATGATATAGTAATTTATTGTTGTTCCTTTGTCACCTAGGAGACCAAGGATGTCCTAGACACCATGCAACCATCAGTGGAGTGTGTCATATCTGAAGCAGAGGAGGTTATACAAGAGGGGAGCAATCCCAGCATTCCTCGCATACAACACCTTAGTCAACAGCTGAAGACACAGTGGAGTACTCTGGAGTCCAGCTATACACAGACTCAACTGTGAGTACAATTATACTTCTTTTTATTACTCTTATATGTTGATACTACATATACTCGTATGGGTCATTTTACAGGTTTTTACATATGTACAGTATAATGGTTACTTTTTTTTTGTGATATCATTGAAAAGAAACCTGTATCAACATTATGAGATTATCTTTAGCAGAATCTCCCTTTATAATGAATAACTTATAATAGCACTATGGAAGCATTCACTGTTATCAGTTAACTCCGATAAGATAATGGGTCACTCCAAGAAAACTTTACTTCTATATAATATTGTAGTCAGTTTGCACACTCACAACAAATTAGGTTTGAACAAATATGTTCAAAGTATGTTGAATACATATACCTACAAGGTATAATGTGAATCTATAAATCCAGTAGAACGTTAGTTATTATTGGAAATAGGAACTTAGGGGACCCGTAGATCCTCACAATGAAATGTTTGGTGATGTTATTGAAATGGTCCCTTAGAGACAACTATTAGGAAATGCTGATTTTCCCAGATCTTTCCAGTTTACCTCAGGATTAGGTTTATAGAGAAAACAATTGATGTTTAGTCAGACAACAATAATTGTTTGTTTAGTTTTAGACAAACTGAAAACTATTTGCTTTGATACATACCACTGTAGCTTAATGGACCTATATCATATCCCACCTGTGTTGGACCTTAATGAAATTGCCACCTGTAAAATACTGCCCATCGCCCAATCCCATCTTCCTACTTATTGCTTCTTGTATTCAAAGTTACAATTTGTTGAGAGTGGGATTGCAACATTCATTTTCTTTTTCATTAGTCTTTGTGTCCAGTAACCCCCACTCCCTCCCTATACGTTGGAATATGTGGTATAGGTTATATGATATAAGATGACTGTGCTATTATCTTGTAAATGACTGGGTAGATGGGAGGAGGTTTCTTGACTCGCAGTTCTTCATTTGAAATTAATTGACAATATATTCATCCCTGTGTCTCTGAGACTGTTACACAAACTGATGATATACATTATGTGTCATCTTTGGCCCTAGAGTAATTCATTGCATTTTATGAGCTGGTATGAAAACAGAGAAGGACCAATCTTGAAGGATGATTACATGTACAAGTGATTGCTTCTCATATAGTATTACTTGACAAATAAAGCAGGGAATCCTTGAGATATCGACCTTAATAATTGATTTGAGTGTTTCGAGATTATTTAATTTTTAAAGCAAGGAAATCTCTGATTATGATTCATATAATTAGACACTTTTCACTTAGTCAAATAAACACATAAATTCATATTAAGAATGAACTAGAAATAGTAATCAATAAAAAATCTGAAAACAGTAATATTAATTGAATCTTAATAAATTGAGAAAAATGTCTTCTTTTTTTCTTTTATTCTTTATTTCTACCCACACTTGTGAGCATAAAATAGTACATATACATACAATGATAATACAGTTTAGTTTAATTCACTACCACCAATAATCTTCATCAATTTACTTAATTGCACAGAATATTTAATAATCTGAAAGCCCATTGTGCATTTTGCACATATCCTTCATGTTCAGTATAATGGAAATAAAGTTGATACTCAGTTGATGATTAAAATAACGTGGCTAATAATGCTTAAAGCACAGCCACCTGCACATGTATTATTGTATTGTATTCTTTGTACAAATGAATAACTTAATAAAAAAATGCTTAAAATATGAATCAAACATACAAGATGCTGTGACAACCTCCAATCAATTTACAATTTTTATCGCACTTTGAAAATCCATTCTACTTGATATTATTACAGATGCAAGAGCAGTCTTAATGAAATGATGGCCATTTTTCTTGATTCAAAGTGTGATATTTATCAGTGGGTGTCTTGTTAGCCATGTTTTGTATTACAGTTGACACTATTGGAATGAACGGAATCCCATATGTATTATCTTGGCCATCATATCTTATTACCCCACTGTCTATCAACTCATCTGGGTATAGAACACTGAACTCCCCGAGAGTGTAATATACAAGTTTTGAACCAGGTTTACATATGTTTGCAGCAGATTTGATCATATTCTTGATTTTGCCAGGTTCTTTCGTCATATATGGTATGACAGTTGAAAAATTGATACTGTCAAACATCTGACAATCTTTCCGGGATTCATTCTCATCAACGCTATCAATGTATTCTGCTATATCTGCTTCAATCCATGTAATTCTGTCAAGACGCTCTTTTATGTATTCATAATTTCCTTCTCTGAGATACAAAGGCATTAGATATTTACCGCTAATATCCCCTGTTAGAAGTGGTTCTAAGAACTCGTTTTTGTTGTTTGGGACATTTCTGATCACTCTGTTGTATTGGTGAAGACATGCTGTTGTAATATCAATCTCCTCTATTAAGTCACGCATTGGACCAATCATCAGGTCTCGCATGCTCTTATAAGCAATGCGCCATTGTTCCGTGTCCCAAATTGCATCATGGAAGTGGACCTGTTCCTTCATGTTATCCCCTAAAGCTAGGTACCTCTCTATCATTGCTTTATTGTGAACTTTAGGCAGCAGTTCATCACTCAGTGTAGCAACCAGTTTGTTAAATTCTCCACAATAGAAAATCCCTTCTTTGATGTCTTGCAAAGATTTGTCCCAAAATTCCTTTGTATTAGGCTCAAGAGCCATTCTTATATCTTGGTATATTTTTACTCTCTCAGTCGGATTGATAGCTTTTCTATTAATACCTATGAATTTACTGAATTCATCTCTAGACAGTAGTTTCATTGCAGTCGCTTGCAGCTTAGAAATATAGATTTGAGGGGGAAATAGATCCAAAGCTATGACTTGTTGAGGGTCTGCGAGAAGATGGGAGATGGCGTGTGTGCCACTAGCTGCGATTGTTAGAACTTTGTCTCCGGGTTTGATTCTCATAACACTGTTGATCTTGCTCATATCAATGCCATTCTAGAATACAGAGATCAAATAGGATGTTTATTGTCTGCTAAATGCTTACTGATAAATCAACCCTTTTTTACAAGCTGTATACGAGAAACTGGTGCATACAATTTATTCATTCCTGTGCTTAGATCTATAATTAAATGCATTCACATTTATGATCTAAAGATGAAATGACAATGGTGGTCTAAAACTATCATATGTTGAATTGAAAATCCTTTTGACAAATTATGTTTGCAAATAAATCTTTTTCCCATTCTCAGGCGAACAATGAATGAATGACGAAGAATGACTTGATTTACCACATACCTGACTAAAAAGGACTCGTTTTCCTTCCTTTTTGCTATGAAGCTGCTTTACTTGAAACATACACGATTGTGCCAGCTTTTTCAAGCGAGATGTTGTACTTATGGGTGCTAGCATTTTTAATTTGTAGATTTTTACTTTCTTCGTACTTGTGAACACTTCCAAAAATGAACGAGCGTATGACCTCAAGAAAAATAAACAAACCTGAAGATTTGCTTATATGTTATTTTCTTTCAATTGATAAATGTCAATGAGGTACAAAGGTACAGTTGAATTTAAGTCTGGGATATAATATAAAAATAATTTTTCATAAAATTGTCCTTACCTTTTGCTTTTTTTCAATGAAACATTTTGTATTGAGAGGATTTAATTCTTATAAATCAAAAAGGAGTCTAATTAGAGGTCAGATATTTTCTGCTGGAACTGTTTGATTTAGATTACGAGGTATCAATAAATAAATAAGATCAGAGATTTTTAGTGACCCTTATAAGGATATTGCACAGAAATACCCAAAAAGGCCCCTTAATTGCTGCTTTAAAAAATTTTGGCTGATAATTTTTTGGGCCAACTTTTTTTCTGGGCCTTCCCAAGGGGGGGGGGTCAAATCCTCTAGTGATACTGCATAGATATAAAAGTGATTGAAAGAGTATTGAGTCATTTTGTTGCTGAAGAGGTTGCTTGTTATGAATCTATATCTGGAATGTATGACATCATCGCAAAACAGGCCCATTCTAGTAATCTTCAGAAAACATTGGTTATCAGTGATTTATGAATGATGTGTGGATCAATATTTTACAGACTGCTAAAAATATCATTTCTAGTATGAGAATGTGTTTGCTGTTTTTGGAAGCTTTAAATTGTTTTTAAAGAGGATGATGATTTTAATATGATTTTAAAGGCCAAGGCAATTTATTTTATGTATAAAAAACGCAACATGTTGATGTAAATATGTTTGGACAAAATATTGAAAATTGTAATGTACTCACATAGTAATAATGTGGTAATAAAGGATACAATACAATAAAGAATTGAACTAAATTACATGTCATAAGTGAAAAAACATATGCTTTACTCTTATAGATATATAATGTTCTCTTACATACCAATGATGAGTATTTTCATGTTATTTTCACCATGACGATTACCAATGTTTAATGAAATTGGAAATATTTTTCAAAATTTTATGTGTATACATATTTACACATTGTTATAGAATACATAGTTCAAAATCAAATTATTTTGTTAAAATTTTGTTGATGACATTTCTCCAAATTATGTTTTCGATTTATTCCGAGAATGTCGTAATACCTTAAATCTGTATTATTTCACGTTGTGTATATATTGGCCAGATCATGGAAGCACAAGTGATGTGCCAAAGCAAACAGCCAACCAGATTGCAGCAACAGGCCACCATGCTGGGTGATATAACTGTCCAAAACCCATCCAAAATATACAGATGTTCAGATTGGCAAATGTTCATATTCCAATATTTTGAGAGTCTATGATCTATGACAGATAAAAAAAATCAGACTAAAGAGTGTTCATATTGCATGTTCGAGAGGTGTTTGAATATAGCAGTTTCACCGTATTAAATACCTCATGTTTAAAGCTTAGACCACTTTCACTTAAAAATTTTAGTTTTAAACAATATTTTCATATTTTTGGGGCTCCAAATATACTGAGATATTCCGTGGAAAGGAACGATTTTTGCATGTCTTTCGGGGATAGCCGAAGATCTAACCCTTCAAGGAATTGGATTGGTTCTTTGACATTGGACATCTTCGTGATGTAAATATCTTCGGTTTCGGTCCATCGGTGCTCTCCCATTCCATTAAGTAGTTGATTCATGCTTGACTACAGACACTTACAGATATCTAAAACTTTATCTCAAACAGTTTTATTTGAATACATACTCCACATAGCTGGCCATAACATCTTTGAGTATTATGATGAAAGAAGAAATTGCCCATGTAAATAACACCTAAGCAATTGGAAATACAAGTGGAACAAACTATTTTTCCTATCAAATGCGGAAAGTGTTCATCAACAGATCTGTTGCCAAGGCAATATATCAGTGTCGCATGTTAACAATTTGTCTATTTAGAAGCTGCTTAAGTTGGTTCCAAAGAAAATAAACAAAAACAAGTTGTATTTGTGAGATATTACATAACTTCTGGTAAAGATCATTTAACTCCTGTATCTGACTAATTAGGCCTACCTACAGTTCTACACATGTTTCATGCCTGTTTTTGAATTATCCGTCTGATCATGTTTATTCCTCTCTATTTCTCTCTAAAATTTGAATAAACTACCCAATGTTCTTGCATTTCTTTACAATTTAGAGTGTTGACTACACGCCTGTTTACTTTATTTCATGCTTTTTCCTCTCTTTTTTCCTCAATTTTGCATTCTAAAACATGATTACCATAATGTTTATATGCAGAGGTTCCACTATGAGCAGGGTTCACTATCAGTGAGCAAGATAATACAACAGTTGGTGGTGTGGTGCGAACACTGGATAATAATTTGAGCATTGTGGAATGGCAGTCATGCTTTTTCACAGCAAATATAGTGGAAATGTGAGAAATCGACAAGGAATAAAATACATAGTTGTCAAGTACATACTCTGAGGTTCATGAAAATTCAAAAAAATTACATTGTTCATTCAAATTTTAAAGAGAAAAAAGCAAATTAAACAAGTCCAGTTTGAGATCTTTTGGTTAGGCTTAGGACTATTAATGATGCACAGACACTTGATTTCATAATTCAACACTATAACTATGAGCCATAGAAAGTTCAACTGAAATAGCTGCTGAATCTACTGCAGTTATTCACCAAACAAATTGATGGAAACATTTTGGAATCATTGAAAATGAAAATGCTGACTCGAGAGTATTCATTGAATGAGGAGGATGGAAATGAATCCTTTTTTAGCTCATTTATCAATGATTTAAATATTATCTGTACATATAACACTGGGATATATGTTAGAAATGATGGGTTGAAAATGAAAATCACGAGCATGTAATTGATTTGGCAATGAGCTGATATGGATAGTTGTTTTCTCCAAGGTTGATATAATGTAACAATGCAACAAGAAACATTGAACAGAAAACCCAAAAATGCAGAGGAACCCACACAACCATTGATAAGGAAATATGCGTGTATGCATTGAACAAGAAGAAATAATTAAAAATTATCAAGAAGGTGCACATATGATTGCCTTATGGCGAAGGATTAAAATATAAAAATGATTAAAAAGTACTCATTTTGGATTGTCACGATTAAACTTGAAAATGACTGAGAAGGCGCACAAATACCGGAGGTTGAATGCTGATTCTGCACTCAGGTATAAATATACAGTGAAATCTGTTAAATGTTAACACTGATATGGCCAGCTTAAACTTTGATATAAATATACAGTAAAAAATATTTAATGTGACCACTAATATGAACAGGTTAAGCTCAGGTATAAATATACAGTGAAACCTGTTTAATTTGAACACTAATATTATGACCATCTTCACAGTGAGAGGTGTTCAAATATGAAGGCTCGTGTTCGGAACTCAATGGGTCATTTCTGACATTTAGCTGAAATTGTTCAGATTTTGTTGTGTATACTTTTAAAAGGTATTCACACACATGGGTTTACTATATACATGTAGTAGGAATACATTGTAACCTTCACAATCAAACTCCCTCTGGCAAATAGTATGAATTATTTCTTTAGTGTCATGTTTGCTACTTTGCACTTTGATTCCAGTGATTTATACTGTCTGGAAAAATGACATGTGTGCTTTCACACTAGATAAAAATTCCAAACTATAGATGATGGAAAAGAAAACATATTTAGGGTTTGATTCGGTAGAGGGGTAGAGGGAGGGGGGTTACCACACAGGGATTTCAACATAATGTGCTTTCACATTATATGAAAATACCAAACTGAAGACGATGGAAAAGAAAACATAAGTAGGGTTTAGTTCGGTAGAGGGGTAGAGGGAGGGGGGTTACCACACAGGGATTTCAACATAATGTGCTTTCACATTATATGAAAATACCAAACTGAAGACGATGGAAAAGAAAACATAAGTAGGGTTTAGTTCGGTAGAGTGGTAGAGGGAGGGGGGTTTACCACACAGGGATTTCAACATTGCTTTCTCACATGTTGAATGTTCATAACAGGTTATTTACATTGGAATCTCTGGCACCAATCCTCTTGAATCAATTTCCTTGATTCCATCCGAGAAACATTCTCTTCTGATTAAACTTACAGATGCTTCACCCCATTCTGAACATTGTTCTAGTTTGAAATAGTTATACACACGTACTTCCCTGAGCTTCTCCAGTAAACATTCGCTTGATGATAATTTTCATGTAATTTTCTCGGTTGCAATAGCCAATTATCATTAAACGCACAATATTTTTATGGGGATATTTACATGTAATGGTAGAATGCATAATTCAAAATCAAAATATTTTGTTGAAGTAACATTTCCTCATCTAACTAAATTTTTTTTCTTCAATGTTTCTTCAACTATCTTCAATGAAGCAGCTCATTCTTCTGATTTTTTATGATATACAGCTTTTTGCCTTGTTTTAAGTATTATGCACTCTATACTTCTCTGGCTCATGGTTTTCCTGTATTGAAAAACATAGAATGTTAGATTCAAAGGTTTCCATATTATTGGCACTATCTTCAGAGTAAATCACAAGTAATGAGAAGACAACTTAAGAATCCATAAGTGGCCTAAATCATAAACAAACTACAATAAGTAAGAAATAGGAAACAGCCATGTTTCTCATATGATTCGATAACAAACATAATATAAGTTATTTTGTATTATTCTTTAAAGTTCTATCACACAGTCACAAAAAATTATTTTATGATTAAAAAAACATAAGTAATATGGTTACCTTATTTTGACATTAATGTATTACATGTTGAATGAATTTACTGACTGTTTTGGAAGAATTAAAGTTTTTATTGCAATATTTATGGGTGCACTTCTGTTATTATTAGTTCATTCAAGTGCTCCTGACTACAGGTTATGCCTTGGTCACATTTGCTCCGATTTTCCCTACGGCGTCCGGCCGATTGAGTATTTTGTTCAAAATTGAATACAATATTGAACAAAACACTCAATCAGCCGGGCGCCGGCCGATGGATCGGAGCATATGTGACCCCAGACATTACTTCATTAACAAAGGTTGAAGGTTATATACATACATCATAGTGTTCCCCTTTAACATTAGTCCACTTAAGCATTTGACAGAAGCAAAATCAAAGCAGAATTAAGTAAAGTGTTTTGGTTGGTATTTACCTCTTTTTCTTGTTTATGGTATCCAGGAATTTGGGTCAATGACACATGCTTTTTCCTTTTCTATAAACTGCCAGAACTGATTTTATGATCTTGAGAAAGTTCATTCATTGGACCATTTGCATTAGCTTGTCTCTCAGTGTTTTGATGGTTATTCAATGAAAAATAGGGTCAACATTGAAGAACATGGGACTCACATAATCACTATAAACTATGTCAACAAAAAAAGCAAAATGGTCACCAGATCTATGGAAAAGTTGAATATTGTATTTACAGAAATATGCAAGAACAAGGTCTGATACAAACCAGGCATATCATTATCAAATAAAAATGACAAATAAACTCTTTTTACAAATTCTGTAGATCATTAGATACCTTGCAAATAACTGACAAGATAAGCTGTACTTGTATAGAGGGCATTAACGTAGAAAAGTTAAACTTTATAAGACATTCTCATTTGCGTTGAAGTCCATCTATATTTGTTAGTTTAATTCATATTTTTTCATTTAACTTTTACAAGCTGTGTTATTTGTTAGTTTTTAACCTAGCTGTCAGCTTTGATTCATCTCTCTATAGTAAGTGATGATATAGTTCATGATCAGGGGATGTGCTCAGCTTTCAAATGATATATTACTTTGTGAAATGAATGCAGGCATGGTTAAGATAGTGACAACTTGATGAAATAATGAACTTGTACTTTTCACCTTTCACTTTTATTTGATTCTATGATATGCCAGGGTAAATACTATGAACTGAAAATATTTATATTAAGTTAAAGGCACCCACATTGATACAATGCCAGAACTATCTTTATTTTGTGAAATACACTTTGTAGATGAACTAAACAAAATATTTATATGATTAAACGAAGGCACCAGTTTTATCTTTGAATAATTAAAGGCACACATTTCGATGATATATCTTTAACTTTATTTCCAGTTAAAGGCACTCATGTTGATAACAAATCTCCATAATCTTTATTATTCAGTTAAAGGCACTCATCAAATGTTGTTCAATAGTTCAGTTCAATAACAATAGTTTACTTCAATATCATTAACTTTTATTTTACTTTCAATTGATATACTCATTGACCCAGATTTACCTCCAATAATCTACACAATGTGCAGGTGTGTTTTTATCAGGTAAAAAATATGAACATAGCCATACATAATTATAAACCTTAGGTTATTACAGGTTGCATTGTAACATATCAGTTATTGTGTTGTATAACTTTTAATTTAGATTTCTAATTGAATTTTAACAACTGTAACCATGAATGTCCTTTAAGTGGTACAAAACAGGTTTTTACATGAACTCATATATGTGTGTGGTGTATTTTAATGTTGGTATATACACTACATGTAAATGAAACAATTGGGATATGTTACATAGTTGCAGTTAAATAAAGATAAGCTAACCAATGTGTTTGAATCTCTTCAGACGATGGAGCAAGACAGTTGAACAATGGCGACAGTTTCACGCAGATGCCAATCATCTGTCGTCATGGTTACATGGGATGGAAGAGAGGCTGGAGGCGACAGATGCAGCAGGATTCAATCACAATGATGATACTGCTAAGAACATACAAGAGGTAGATACATCTTTACTTAATAAACATGTTCCAATAAACACCTTGATTCAATAATCAACACCTTGTCTCATTGAACACATTATTTCAATAAACACCTTGTTTCAGTGAATACATTGTCTTAATGAACATCTTGAGTCAGTGATCACCCTCTTTCAGTAAACACTGTGGTTTAGTGAACACCTCGTCTCAATGAGCACCTTGTTTTAGAAAACACATTGTTTGAATGAACACCTTATTTAAATGAACACCTTGTTTCAGTAGACACCTTGTTTCAATGAACACCTTATTTCAGTGAGCACCTTGTATTGATAGACTGAACATTTTACCTCAATGAGCAATCTCTTCAATATGGAATATTTTATGTTAATTCAATGGTTATCTTAAACAAATAGTTAAATGATTAAGGATGTTATTTTAACTAATACCAATTTTGCAGACATCTTTGTTTTGTCAAAAAATTAAATTTTTCACACCAGTTTCTGGTATATATTTACAGAATAATATACTTTTATTAATTATTAATAATAGCTGTTGCTATTCATTTTAGTAAATATAATCTAAGATAAGGCTTATCTAATCTCAAGATAATGAATATTGAAGCTGACATATTTTTCACTTTTTTCATCATTAAAACTACCTCTGAACAAGATTTGTTCCATTTCCGATTTTTATGTTGAACGTGTTCCAAGTATAACTGAGTATATGAACTATTGCACTCAAGTATGTAAGTTGAATCCATATTCCAACCTCATTATTATAACTTGGCAAGAAATATCTTTTATTCAAGTATAGATGTCATGTTCATCTTTCAAGCTATCATATCCACTATGGTGACAGACACCTAGCCAAGGAAAAAAGGTCAGATGGCGCTGATTGTCACCACTTCTCTCTGATTGGTCAATTCAAAGTCAACAATATCCAATTATTACGTGTCCAGAGTTATATCTTTTCTGATATTCAAATATCTCTCTGCCTGAAACTGAGGTTGAGATTTTTGCAGTTACAGAATTTCAAGACCCGGTTGTAATCTTTGAGGGTAAAAAATTTCTACTGATAACTTTACTGATAATGTAATTACTAAAATGGGTCAGTCTGGTTAGAATAACAAAAAGTAGAAATGAGCTATTGATAAGGTGGCTTTTGGAAGTTTTTATCGCCATGGTTACTGATGGAATTAGGCTGGTAGAACATATGGGGAATGACTGGGAGGCCAGTAGGTGGTCTTCTTGATGTAGGATACAATAATCTTTTATAAGTATTTGGCATCTGTTCTTAGTCTTATTAAATTGGTATCATCAAAATATAATTGTGGTTTAAACATTTATACATGTATACCACAATTTTTTGTGTTATTAATTTCTTGCACTGGAGGTCTTGTATTGAATATGTTGTGTTTTGACAACAGAAGACCTAGTGGTTTATCATCTGGGGTTTCCTGTGTGGAGGTAGAATATTGAGAAGAGTGAGGACAGACAGGTCTCTCTCTCACAATATTACATTACAGGAATATAATCTACTGTGTCAAGATTGACTTGCATCACAGTACACAAAGTAGGCAAAAATATACACAAAACCTTAGATCTGTATCAAAAAAGACATAGAAGGCAAGAATGTACTCAAAATCTTAGACCTACATTACAATAAATATAGTGGGCAAAACATGTACTCAAAATCTTAGACCTACATTGCAATAGACATAGTAGGCAAGAATGTACTCAAAATCTTAGACCTACATTACAATAGATACACAGGGTAAAACATGTACTCAAAATCTTAGACCTGCGTTGCAATAGACATAGTGGGTGAAAATGTACTCAAAATCCTAGACCTACATTACAATAGATATAGTGGCCAAAACATAAAATCTTAGACCTACATTGCAATAGACTAGATGCGAGTAGAAATAATCTTGATTTACGTCATCAAAAATTCAAAATTCAGTCAAACTGATGTCATTTTTGGAATCTACATGTAGAATTACATCTAGAAATGTGGTTTTGAAAAGAGCTTATCAACTTTGAAAATTTAATTTTCTTTGAAAATGTGACTTCTAGGTCGGGGGGATTCCCCATAGAGCCCATGTTGTAAAATCACAAAAAGTGAAATATCTTTTCTTGTGTTGGGCAGATAATGTTTTCTTTTACTGGGTATATTTTAATTTGTATAACTATCAGATACAAAAGGGTAATATGAAAAGTGAACCACTAAAACTGATGAATATTCAAGTTTAAGGGAATTTTGTAATACCCTGCCATGTTATTTCCCCCGACTCAGCCACCTGGTGGCGAAACTGGTAACTACCTACTCGCATCTGAGTAATTGACACAGTAGGTAAGAATGTACTCAAAATCTTACACCTACATTACAATAAATATAGTGGGCAAAATCTTAGACCTACATTGCAATAGATATAGTAGGCAAAAATGTACTCAAAAGTTTAGACCTACATTACAATAGACAGTAGGCAAAACATGAACTCAAAATCTTAGACCTACGTTGCAATAGACACAATGGGTGGAAATGTACTCAAAATCTTACACTTGCATTGTACTATTTTTTTTTTTTTTTTTTTATTAAAATCAATGTAACATATTTACAGGTTGTAGTGGCTATGACCCCCAAGAGGGAGTATTAGGTGCCACATAATGGTATTTACAATGATTTGTGAAATATTATGAGCAAAAATATACTTAAAATTGTATTGCTTGATTCTAGCTCAGCAAAGGTTCTATTAAAGAGACACATACGGGTACATTAGTTGTCACTTAATAAATTCTTGTCAATTTTCATTATAATTTCATTATGATGTATTTTTTAAAAGTTAACATTTCATGTTCTTCCCCAACTATAAATTGTAACTTCCTTCTGTATTATCGCTTCAATTTGCTGTTTACAATCATATATTACATAATTTGATTATGGTCAATACAGAAATTGCTCCAATTGAATTGCCTAAATGTAATATTTGAGTGACGGAGTGTTTGGTCTCTAACCTAAGTTATCCTTGCTATCGCTTGACTTGATTAAATCTCAAGTAGCCTAAGGAAAGCAGCCTGTGTATGCAATCTTAGATAAAATACATAGGTTGTCATAGCAATTATTGTAAACGATTAACTACAAGGAAACTCAAGGAAATAAATAAACTAACTAGCAATTTCTGGCATGTATTTTGCATGGGAATTTCAGGAACAATGAGGGGCATTCTATGAGAGAGGAACTTTGAAATGTCTGAATTGAACTATTTTGTCATGGAATAAACTGTACAGTGTAGTAACAGGTTTATATCTCACCCAGATCTTTAGATAACATAAGGTGACTGGAGATAAAAACTGTCTAAAATATCAGAAACACTTTATGAAAATGGATTAAATTGCAATATTGACTTTGTTTGAATGCCAACACTTGTCAGTACCAGGTTTATTGGCTAAGAATTAAGAGTGCATGTATACATGTATGTGGTTTACCCAAGGGATTGGGTTAAGATACAAACTTATGGAGAATAACTTATGAAAGACAAAAACTTGATCTTTGTTGAATATAGTAAAAGGTAAGTAAGGTTTAGTATCGTATGAAGGAAAAAAGTTTATTTTATAGAAAATAGCAAGACTGATCATGTATATACATAAGAGCTGAACTGCAATTCCAATTGAAAACTTGACTTTGCCAGTATGCTGATATAATATTGGCAGTGTATCACCCACAGGGTTTTGTATCAACAGATGACATCTACAATGGCCCACCTGGAAGAACAATGGAAACCTGAGAGTGTAGAAATACTAGTAGTTGGATTTCAAAATGAGTTTAATAAACAAATCTAATGGGCAAATTTGTTACCATTGGAAAGCTGACATGTTCACCATTGAAAAGCTGAAATATTCACCATTAGAAAGCTTATACCATACATATATTCAGTTTTTTGGATCCACAGATATTTTATTACCATTTCCCTGGACAGAGAAACAACATTTTACTCACTATTTAACCAGGATTAAGCTGTTCCCTCAAGTACAAATTCCTATGATATCGCTATTGAGGAACAGAAACACCAAGTGCTGATAGCATCAAGTTGTAACACTAACAGTTTCAATTTAGCAGGGCTGCTGCATAAGTTAGCTCCCTATGCTGTCAAAAATGTATATTTGATCAAATTAAGCTCCTGATAGTGATATATGGAATTGATATTTTCTCTTCAAAGAATTACAATGTTTTTCTGTTCTATACATTCGATATCACAAAATAGTTCATTATTTTTCATTGGTTTCAATTAATTATGATCGTAGTTTTATTAGGATTTTCCCCTGATTTAATGTTATTGAAAGATGAAAAAGATTGTTGATTACAACGGTTTTTTGTTAAAAGGTTTCTTGAGTGACTTATTTTGTACAAAGCTAATCTAATTTCTCTTAAGATGTCACCATCACCCAATACACCAGTCTAGGAGACTCTGTTATAGATAACAATAACAGACCTTACACTTCAATCGAGGTGTCTCCCTAGGGAGTATCTGGGAGACTGAACCACTGTCTCCCTCGTGATACAGTCTTGGCTACATTTTTTGTAACACTAATAAATGTCCTTGTGCAGTAGAACATTTGTTTTATAGGCTGAAATACTATGAAAGAAATCTTTACCAAGGGTATTCATTGTTATGTGTGTTATGTTTAAGAGGTGTTTTGATCATTAAGTGTCTATTAGAGAGACGGGTTCACTGAAAAGAATCCGAGAGAAATATTCATGGGAGTTTACTTGAAAAGTGTTCACAACTACAACCGGGAAATGTTTGCTCCACTAAATTAGAAAAGTGTTCAGAAGTGAAAAATGTCTGCTAAACTTAAATAGAAAAGTGATCACAACAAATGCTCACTAGATTTAAATAGAAAGTGTTCAAAAAAGGCAAATTCTTACTAGAGTAACTAGGAAAGTGTCTCTTAAAGATGTTCATAATGAGAAGTGTTCACAAAACAAAAGTGTCTAAATGCACCCACACTGTATATATTTGATATTCACTCTCAATTCCCCAAAGTTTTATTTGATAAAATGATTTTGAACATGTGAACATTTTTCTCTTTTAGGAGCTGGAGAGTGGCATCAGGGAGCAAGAGAGTCGTGTTGAGCATCTCCAGGAGACAGCTGGTGGCCTCCTAGCAACAGTAACCAGGCAAGAAGCTGATGCGCTACGGCAACAACTTGACGGAATTCTACGGAAATGGGACGTGACTCGGACTGAAGTAGCAAACAGAAGAAGGTTTGTTATTATATATCATTACTGGTGGTACAATCATAACAATTTCAAGAAAACCATTATGATTTTGTTTATCAAATCCCAAGTAACAATGGTTTCAAATATGTTTTCTTATTATGAGATTATGATTTCCATATAATTATGAAACTTATTTTAGAACGCTTCAATCACCGGACCCCTGAGGTGTACTTTTGAAGCTTGTGTAATTTTTTAGAATTTTGTTTCATTTACAATAAACAATATGGATTTGCAATTAATTAAGGTGAAGGCCAAGTGGGTTAAGTGATTTAAAACTTTTAACCTTTACACATAGGTAACAGCCATTCATATGGCCTTACATCTTCCTGATCAAGAGTATATATAGATATCACAAATGTAATGCGGGAATGATATTTTAAAAGATAATGTTTAATGCAGGATCCAAGATCAGATGTCTAATGTAGAACCTGAAAAAGAGTTGGGAGTTTGGGTAGATGAGACGTCCACCATTCTATCCTCAGATATCACCCCAGGAGATCCCGAGGCCTTAGAGCAACTTGCGGAACAGTTACGCGAACGTGAAGAGGAAGTTATCGTTCGTCAGGGTCTTGCAAAGACTCAGGCAGAGCAGCAACAATTAGCGAGTATGTCAATCACGTTGGTGGAACGACGTAGAAATGTTGAAGAGAGGTTGTACCAAATACGTAGTTTATTGGAAGAAACAATGGAGCTATCAGCATGGATGACGACAACGTCAAACTTGATCCACACGCAGCATCAGCCGAGTGCTACTGCTTCAGGGGAGCAGGATTCTGTTGTGTTAGACCCAAGGACCATGCAAGAAGCCCTTGAGGCACGTCAGGCAAACATTGACAATGCAAATGAGGCCTTCCAGCAGGTGGAAGATGACTGCAGACACTGCAGGGTAGAGGTAGGTTTGTTTGTTTAATGAATTGTTATTTGAGAGTATCTTTTTCTGCTGTTGTATCGACATGCCAAATTCAACTCAAGAATCACCCTTGGCACTTTTGAAATTCTAATTCCCATTAAATTTAATCACTAAGAGCACTCATGAAACCCATCAGTTGGTAGTAAATGATTTGATATTTTACTGGAAAACCATATGAAGGTGTATTGACGTTCTATACATGGAGTTCAGTAAATAATAACATGTATGCATCTAAACTTTGTCAAATATTTTTCATCAACTATTTCACCTCACTTATTCTGGATTCTTACCCATTTCCTTTCTGCCAGTTTCTTCTGCCCCTGTGCAAAATGTTTCCTTGAGATGTGACAGTTCCATGTATAAACACCTCAGTTGCTTTTTTGTGCAGTAACATAAAAAAAACAAGCAAATCAATGATAACATTATAATACATGTATTTGTGCCAATCAAGTACAGTGAAACCTGTAAAGTGGAGCACCTCTAGAAATGGAACACCTCTGTTAGTGGAACACTTTTTAGAGTCTCAACACCAACTGACTTAATGTTAAATGAACCTCTATAAGTGAAACACCTACCAAGTGGAAAATTTTTAAGAGGTACCAAAGGTGTTCCACTTCGACAAGTTTTACTGTACAATATATTCATTGATCCAGCCTGTGTGAAGGAACTCTTATCAAGGCAATTCTGTGTCTAAAATCCTTTCAGATTATTGTACCTTTGAGGAATGAATGAATTTATATTTGTCAGTAGCTGAGTTAACTTGAACTACTTCCCCAATTATTCATGTATGCAATTCTACTAACCATTGTAACACTTGACTTTCAGGTTCCAGTGTCTCTGAGGGAACATATGATGAAGCTGAACTCTGATTGGACGAAACTACGTCACATGGGGCAAAACCTGCGACCTATCTCTGACTCCAGTGTGGATGATGTTTTCTCCCTTGAAGGTAATTATTATTTAATCTCAATACATTATTCTCTACAATGCCATCTCCTTTTGTAAAACGAACAAGAACAATGGGGTAATATGCCGTGTTAGAGAATAGTGTGTCAAATTGGTGAGGGAGTAGTTTTGGAAATATTGCACTATAATAGTCTAAGGGGTGCCATTATCTCTACTGTATTTCAGGCAATATCATTATCTTCTTTTGAACTTTTTGGCCTGGCAGGACAAACCAGTCTACAAAGGGGATTTGAACACAAGGTGACATCAAGTTCACCTCTACTATAGCAATGATTGTATCACAAATATAGTTATAGCAAATTCAGATCCATTATGGTTTTTATGTCCCCACCACATAGTGTGGGGCCATATTGTCGTCCTAGGCGCGTCCGTCCGTCCATCCGTCTGTCTGGTTGTCTGTCTGTCCGTCCGTACGTCCGGCAGTTTTCTCCAAAACCGCTACAGGTATCACCTTCAAATTTTCAGGAATAACTTGTGAGTGCATACAGATGTGGATGAAAAAAAATTAACTCGATAGCTACTTCCTGTCGGCCATTTTGAGGTCAAATGCTAAAATCCTTGTCTGCAAACTTTAAGAAAAACGGCTTCACAGTGGCTTTTAAAACTTTAACATCTTGTTCAGCTCACTTCATTCTACATCTGATTAGGTTTTGGACCTGTTAGCCCAGTCATGTCAGCCATTTTGAATGTCTGAAGAAAAGTTAGCGCGCGATAATACTTTGTATCATATTGAATGGTGTTTTTGAGTTTTCATACTTTAACTATTTAGTAGCTTTATAAATAATTCCAGGTGTACTTTGTTGAAAAAGCTTATGTTATTGTTAACAGTAGTTATATGTGATAATTTTGTAAAAAGAAATCAGCAAAAACTCGTAATCACTTTTTTATTGTCGGCCATTTTGGTTTTTTCCATCCTAAAATCTTGTCTGTAAAGTCTTGTCTACACGTTTTCAGGTGAACCGTTTGGTAGATCAATTTCAAGTTTTCAGGGATGAATCTTAGTATGAAAATCTAGATCTGATTAGTTTTTTGGCGTTCTGGGTAAATGTCAAGGCAGCCATTTTGGATTTTCCGTCCTAAAATCTTGTCTGTGAAGTCTTGTCTACACATTTCCAGGTGAACCGTTTGGTAGATCAATTTCAAATTTTCAGGGATGATTCTTAGTATGAAAATCTAGATCTGATTAGTTTTTTTGGCGTTCTGGGTAAATGTCAAGGCAGCCATTTTGGATTTTCCGTCCTAAAATCTTGTCTGTAAAGTCTTGTATATACATTACATATATGATGTTTAATAGGTGAGGTTTTAGATTAGCCATCTGCTAGATTTAGAAGTATGTGACATCATATACATCATATGAGTGTTATTGTATCATCATTTTTTATTAACTTTCATCAATTGATTGACGGCAGTATCAGCAAAATTGTGTGAGCATAGTGTTTAAGAATATATTCCGGTGTTAGTTACCCTTATACATGTATATTACAGCTAACAATAAGATTATCATTTCCATGATTACATCAATGACTTTAGGAAACCTCATAGCTATGAATGTACTTGGTAATGTATCCTGGTTCATTGTTTCATATGTCAATTGCTTTTAAGAAAATTGGAACACTTTGCCTTATTATGATTAAACAAGACATATCGTTCTTTGCTGTGAGGAAATACACTTTAGTAATTGACAAGTGGTCCAAAGAAGCGGTTGCAATTGTGTTGATCTGTATTTTAGTAATTGGCAAGTGGTCCAAAGAAGCGGTTGCAATTGTGTTGATCTGTATTTTAGTAATTGACAAGTGGTCCAAAGAACCTATTGCAGTTGTGTTCATCTCTATTTTAGTAATTGACAAGTGGTCCAAAGAACCTATTGCAGTTGTGTTCATCTGTATTTTAGTAATTGACAAGTGGTCCAAAGAATCTATTGCAGTTGTGTTCATCTGTATTTTAGTAATTGACAAGTGGTCCAAAGAATCTATTGCAGTTGTGTTCATCTGTATTTTAGTAATTGACAAGTGGTCCAAAGAATCTATTGAAGTTGTGTTCATCTGTATTTTAGTAATTGACAAGTGGTCCAAAGAATCTATTGCAGTTGTGTTCATCTGTATTTTAGTAATTGACAAGTGGTCCAAAGAACCTATTGCAGTTATGTTCATCTGTATTTTAGTAATTGACAAGTGGTCCAAAGAACCTATTGCAGTTGTGTTCATCTGTATTTTAGTAATTGACAAGTGGTCCAAAGAACCTATTGCAGTTGTGTTCATCTGTATTTTAGTAATTGACAAGTGGTCCAAAGAAGCGGTAGCAATTGTGTTCATTTGTATTTTAGTAATTGACAAGTGGTCGAAAGAAGCGGTAGCAATTGTGTTCATCTGTATTTTAGTAATTGACAAGTGGTCCAAAGAACCTATTGCAGTTGTGTTCATCTGTATTTTAGTAATTGACAAGTGGTCCAAAGAACCTATTGCAGTTGTGTTCATCTGTATTTTAGTAATTGACAAGTGGTCCAAAGAATCTATTGCAGTTGTGTTCATCTGTATTTTAGTAATTGACAAGTGGTCCAAAGAATCTATTGCAGTTGTGTTCATCTGTATTTTAGTAATTGACAAGTGGTCCAAAGAATCTATTGCAGTTGTGTTCATCTGTATTTTAGTAATTGACAAGTGGTCCAAAGAATCTATTGCAGTTGTGTTCATCTGTATTTTAGTAATTGACAAGTGGTCCAAAGAACCTATTGCAGTTATGTTCATCTGTATTTTAGTAATTGACAAGTGGTCCAAAGAACCTATTGCAGTTGTGTTCATCTGTATTTTAGTAATTGACAAGTGGTCCAAAGAACCTATTGCAGTTGTGTTCATCTGTATTTTAGTAATTGACAAGTGGTCCAAAGAAGCGGTAGCAATTGTGTTCATCTGTATTTTAGTAATTGACAAGTGGTCCATAGAACCTATTGCAGTTGTGTTCATCTGTATTTGTGAAGTACTCCACTCTTGCATTGACAACCTCCTCCTCATCAATGAAGCCATCTTGGTTGGTATCAATGTAGTCAAACTGCAACTGGGCATACGTTGTGTCCAAGCCAAGCACCTTCCAGTAACCCACAAAGTCATCAAATGGTATTGAACCATTATTTTTAGAGTCAAGAATCTGAAATGTATTTGAAATGGTATTAAACCATTGTTTTTAGAGTTTAGAATCTGAAATGTATTTGAAATGGTATTGAACCATTGTTTTTAGAGTCAAGAATCTGAAAAGTACTTGAAATGGTATTGAACCTTTGTTTTTAGAGTCAAGAATCCAAAATGTATTTGAAATATAGAACCATTGTTTTTAGAGTCAAGATTCTGAAATGTATTTGACACTTGTTAGTTCGCTTGATTTATTGTTTCTCTAAGCTGTTGGTGTCAATCATCCCCTCAGCATTAAAACAAGTGGGCACAGCACCCACTTGAGAGTTAATATTTGGCTCATACACCCACCTGGGAATCCTGGGCTGAACACTAGATGGAGTATCTCGTATGGTACAAAATTGACAGTGTCTTTGATACAGATGGATACAGTACATGTGCATCTGTTCATATTCAGGGTTTTCTAAATATAACGTTTTATGTATTAATTTCCCATGACATACCTTGAAAACTGCTGATGCTGTTTTTCGCCATTGTTCAATTGCAACTGGATCATCCTTTTGTTCCCAGAATTGTAGAATTTGTTCTGTCATTGTTGTAGTTCCACCGTGTTCAGATCTCTTTTTGAGCACTTTGTATCTGTTACTGAGCAGCTCTCTAAGTTCATCCTTTGACTTCTCAGTAACAGCTAAATTGACAAGGTGTGACATTTTAGTGGAAAATGTATGGCTTCTGTATGTACCAAGGACAGGACAAGAAACAAAGGAGTTTTAATCCCTATTGCGAGAATCATCGTTAGAAAATAATTATCATGGATTTTCATCAGAGTTATAAGACTCTCTTTTTTGCCTAACACCAACATTCCTAGATGCAGTTTATAAATAAATTAGTCACAAGGGATCGTTTATCTATTAATTAGATAAAATATGAAAAAACACTAGATTAAAATTTGTAAAAATTACCTAATTGTTTCATTTTGTCTCCTAACTGCATAAGGTCTTCATGCCCTATGAAACCATCTTTATCAAAGTCATGTATGTTTATAAAGGTCAGAATTTTCCTCAACCAAAGAGTTGGTACATCCCTGATCTGAAGTTAAAACAGACATCATTGAAGATTATTAACCTGCATATTGTTAATGCTCATAGCCAACAGGGGTTAAAGGGGTTCACTTTAGGCGTTCATTTGAACCCCAGTCAAAAATTCAGAAGAATTTATGTACTTGATAAGATAAAATTCAACCATTTAAGCAAATAAATTTGACTGGGGTAAATTTAGAATTTCAAAAAATGATAACTGTGGTACTCCAAAATTGTGACTGTAACAATTAATTGTTAAGTTTAAGAATACATTTTCTTACCTTGTTATGTACAGAAGACCCGTTGGTATCAGACATCTTATTGCTGCTTATATATGTATAATTCTCCACTTCCAACACTTTTTGCCTGATCACTTGATGCCCTAGATCATTAATAGTATGAATTGCAATGTCATTCAGTGTTCGGTTACACATTTTAAAAGCTCTGAGTTTTACAGTTGAGCGGATAATGTATGCTTTCCCTTTGCCAATTCAACTGGGAAAGTTCAATGATTTATCAAGATGCAATATTTGTATTTATGTATATTGCATAAGATGAAAATCGATATAAATGAACTTTTTAGAATCATAAAAAGCATGATATATATTGTTGAAATGTTCTAATACCTTCAGTTGAGGTTAAATATCATGTTGATGGATACTGTGATGATTGAGAAAATAAGCAGGTTCGATAGAAAAATGTACATGTATGACGTATATCTAATTCTCTATCAAAATTGTATACAATTATTGTTGCTCACACTGATGCAAAACTAGAATTCTAAGTTATTATATTATTTTATTGAATATATTTACCTGGTGTCCTGTATGATACCTTCACTACTACCAGCTCATAAAGTGTTTTGTGCCTTTTCACTGAGCTCAGTATACTGTAGAGGTATGTCAAATGTGTTGATTAAACTTGTTTTCAAAAGAAATACTTAAAGGTCCCATTCCAAGATTAATGTAACCTTTAAACATAAGGTCACCTCACCCTTTTTCAGTATCATCCATTTGACTTTGATTTTTATTGAATTTTTAGAAAAATTTTGACTTTATTTATTTCATTTTGTAGTTCATTATCAATCCTGAATTCAGTATTTTATAGTCTAGCTTTATGCCCTTGTGACATCTCCCCATACACTAGGTCAAGTACAAAGGTCATGGCCAAGGTCAAGTACAAAGGTCAAGGTCTAGGTCAATTAAGAAAGGGACCCAGAGATTTGATACAAGACCTAAACTTGTTCCAAATTGATATTCCAAGAAAAAATATGTTACATAATTACAAACCTCTTATTGGTATTTCAAATAAAAAGTTATTAATTTATACTTTCAGAAGAAACTAAAGCTGAAAATGTGGCTCAGGTGCACACAGTGGTGACGACAACTACACGTGTGACCACGGTGGAGCACCAGAACACTTCACAAGATGGTGACACAGTGGTTGATCAGACAACGCTGCAGCATAGAGACTGGTTGAGATTGCTTCAGCACAACCTGAAGTCTCAGATTGTTACAGTGGGAGATCTGGTTGAAATAGAGCAGCACATTAAGTCACAACAGGTAAGATAAGGAATCAGTTTGATGTGGTGAAGGAGCCCTTGTATCCATAGATGGTGTGATGTGATGAGAGGGCCCTTGTATCCATTTATGATGTAATGTGCTGAAGGGGCCCTTGTATCCATAGATGGTGTGATGTGATGAAGGGGCCCTTGTATCCATATATGGTGTGATGTGCTGAAGGGGCCCTTGTGTCCATATATGGTGTGATGTGCTGAAGGGGCTTTTGTATTCATAGATGGTGTGATGTGATGAAGGGGCCCTTGTGTCCATATATGGTGTGATGTGCTGAAGGGGCTCTTGTATACATAGATGCTATTGTGATGTAGGGGCCCTTGTATCCATAGATGGTGGATGTAGGGAAGGGGTCTTTGTATCCATAGATGGTGTGGTGTGATGAAAGGGCCCTTGTATCCATATACAGTGTGATGTGATGAAAGGGCCCTTGTATCCATATATGGTGTGATGTGAAGAAAGGCCCCTTGTATCCAAAGATGGTGTAATGTTAATAAGGGGCCTTTGTGTCCACACATGTTGTGCTTTGATGGAGGAGGGGTGGGGCACAGGTCTAGTGATCTTAAAAGGCTCCAGCATCATTTGTGCAGAAAACTGTAAAGCTTATGTTGTGTTTAATGTTTGTTTCAGAACACCTTAGAAGAGTTGGACAAAAAGCAACCTGATAGATCCTCAGAACATACAGGTAAAAATACAATTAATCATTTCACCCAGTTCAACCCAATCAATCAATACACACAGGTAAATAAACCCAATCAATTAGTCAATCAATCCACACAGGTAAATAAACCCAATCAATCAATTCAAACAGGTAAATAAACCCAATCAATCAGTCAATCAATACACAGGTAAATAAACCCAATCAATTAGTCATTACATTTCAGGTAAATAAACTCAATCAATTAAAAGACACAGATAAAAATACATTAAAAAATTGAATGCCTGAGGCTTACATCAAGTGACGAGGCAACTTTCTATTTTGCTCAGATCAATGACAAGACATTTTCCTGTGTGTACAGCCCTTTAAGTAATTTCCGCATTCCCACTTAAACTGTGTTATATTTTTAAAAAAACTTAAGATCATTAAATACCCTAAATATTATTGAATGTAAACTTAATTACCGATTCCATTTCTTGCTATTTCACATGGTTTTCACAGTATTTATCGAGGAATTAATTTCCAGTGTGATTGTCATTACACAAGAGAGAATAACAGAAAACTAATAATTGGTACTCTAATATGTTAACAATGAAAATGAAATAAACACCCAAGATACTCAATATTCCTAGTTGAAATCCTCTAACCTGATTGGACAGAGACGTCACATGACCAGTGAAATGAATCATGGGAGATGTAACTTTTCGTGTTTGATAGGGACTTGTAATTGAACTTGTAGTGGAAGAGTGATGGAATTAACTTATGATTTGTGAAATAACAATGGTTTAGGAAGTGAATAAATGGCCCTCAAGTACAACCTCGCCAAGAAATCTCATATATTCAGAATTGTATCCATAATTTCCCACAAAAATCTATATGGAGTATTTGATTTTGTGTAACAATTTTTGAATAATTAATCAGGTAACATCTTAAGAAATGTTTATTTAATTTTTTCCCTCCCCTTTGATGTTGGCAAGTGAGTTGTATATGGTTTCACTGGTGGGAGTCATATGTATGGGATTGCATTGATGAAACCATTGTTTTACATGTGAACAAAAATGGTATCACTTTAAAAATAGAATCTATTGAGTGTTTAAAACTGAAGCTTACTAAAGGATGGATATATGGGACCTCCTTCAGGAAATATAGAATCTCCCATTGGAGACAGTAAATATATAATATCGGTAGTAGGAAAGAATTGTAACTGAAATTCCATCAATTGTAAGCAAGCAAGCAAACAAACAGACAAACAAACAAACAAACAAACAAGCAAGCAAACAGACACATGTGCATTGTAAGGAACAAACTGGATATTGATAAAATTATCAGGATATGAAATATATCTGAGATACCCATACTGAGAACCTAAGACATTAATTCAATTCCAACTTTATGAGACACAAGAAATAATTGTCGGCCTGTTCAAATTTATTATCAGGCAGTGTTAATGGTCTCCCGGGGGACTTTCTGGTAGGACATTTATTACTAGCCTATCAATAAATATCATCTTAATGTTACGCATTCCTCTGTTAAGAAATAAGTTAAGAAAGAAACACACAAACAAGGAAAAGCAAGAACCAATACAAAATAACCTTTACCTTATATGGGCATTTGACGGCTGACTGATTTTTCCTTTCGTTTTCATAGAATTTTTTGAACGGTATAGAGTAAGACATTTATTACTTTGTGACGAGGGGGAATAAATCTAAACACATACTCACTAAACACAGTAGTCAGGAAATCAACATACTCAGATGATTTTTATTCAATTTCTTCATTATTGATGATTGGATAGAAGAATTAAGAAATAGATGGAAGAACATTAAGGAATTTAAATGCTATGAAATCATTAAAGGATTTAATAAAGGATTTAATGAGTTGAGGAATAAGGAGAAATCAAATGATGAAACAAACAAGAAATGGATAAGAACATGCACAAGGTTATGACCTACAGAGAAAAAAAGTTCAACAAAAGCTGTGTAAATACATGTATACATCTGAGATAATAATTCACAACTCTTAATCAGTATAATCTACCTTATGGGATTATCACATCTGGATAAAACCTGGAATTAGTAGGACTGGATCAGTTAATTTCACACATTTCACATTGCAAATTCAAGCTTATCACACTCTGATGTGGTTAACCTTGATAATATACATGTGCTATAATCCACAGAAAGGCATGAGTGAATGGGATCATTCTTGGTATGGTAGAGAAACTTGAGCTCATGAGAACTTATAAGAGTTCCAAAGTGCAGTATCAATACACATGTTTTCTCTTCTCTTGCTTATTTCATTCAATTTCTCTCTAATTGTCAGACATTTCTATATACATGAAGTTTAATGATTATTGGTTTACATTATTCCTTTGTTATTGGTTTTACATTCTCTCTATTTTGAATTTTAAAATATGTCGACCATGTGATTTTACTCGTGAGCTACAATTTGCTTTCATTTCCTGGTACTGACATGCTCTGAAGTTGTACATGTTAAATGTCACATACTTTATAAACTGATTGTCGCAGATTTGAAGATATGTCAATTTGCTATCCTCTCCTATGATAATTCGGTCCTTTTGCTGTTTTTTCAGCTATGAAAGCTAAGAAAAGTGGTGTATGTATGTCTTGAAATGTTGTATGTAGGAATCTTGTTTTGAATCTTTGGAGGGGAATCATACAAACAACCCCAATTAATAAGTTAATGTTCGTGGAAATTCAGTAAATACTTTTTCAAAATTATTTTGTTTTTGCCAAAAATACGAAATTGTTTTCTGTTTGAAGGATATGGAAAAAGAAATATTCTTAGAGTGCATTATTTATAGTTTTACATGACGTTATAAATTTCTGAAGTATCTGATAAAGATATAAAAGATTGTTATATTGGCATGGTGATTAGGACTTGACGTGGCGATTGAGGAATTATTACAATATCAATAATCCATTTACGTTGGAATAGGATGGTAAAGGAGTTAATCAAACGCAGAAATTAGGAAAGGTCAACATTTGAAATTAGGAAAAAGCCAACATTAGAAATAAGGAAAAAGCCAACATTTAATCACAGGACTTAAGGATTACAGAACAAAAAAAGAACATTGACTAATGGAAATATATGAACTGATTTAACTTAACTATACAGTGTATTTTTAAAATGGAGTTTTTTGATAGCGCAATGAATGGGGTGAGGGGTGTGTCTCGATGGGCCAATCAGACTAAAGCAACAGGTACTGACTCATTTGAGGCTAAAAATGGCAGTAAATGTATGTTTTGAATCTTTTTCTAAGCAACTTCTTATTTGAGGCTTTGAGGAGTGTGGTGATGAGAATTGATTGATTAGTTGTGGTTCATTCAGTTATAGGGTAAATGAGCAAAAAATCTGCTACATAGAATTAGCCATTAGTAGGCACAATTTATCTCAAATGTAGATGGGTTCCATTTTTGCTATTTTTTTTACTTTAGTGGATGGGACAGTATGATGGGATAGATTGAGTAAATATTGCATTTGAATTGAAAATTAGAACTGTTGAAGGCTATAACTGTATATATTTTTATTTGTTTCCAGTTGAACGTCTGAAAGACCAATGGGATGAGGCGAGAGATCGTGTCGTTGGACGTAAGGTAACATTAGAGGGAATGGCGGAAGAATGCCGTGAGTTTGATGCTAAGAAACAGGAGGTAGAGACATGGCTCAGTCAACAAGAGACTAGACAGGATGAGGCTGAGAGCATTGGACATAATGTGGATATAATTGAACAGAAGATTAACCAACATAAGGTAAGGAGATTTTTAATGAAAATTAAGTATGAAATCCTTTGCTGAAGGATTAGGTAAAAAATCAGTCCACTTTCCACATTTATAGCATTGCAAGTTTTGGTTTTTTATTAATTTTCATAATTTATTTATCTAGAATTTATTGTGTACGATGACCCAGTGAGATTTATAGTTGTAGAAGAAACCTAAAAATATATTTTTTCCAACAAATTTTTAACTGAAACATATACTGAATACCAAAATGCTCTAAATGCACTATTTACTTCCCTAATGTTACCATGACATTTCAATTCCATTAACAACATTTGTTCCGGAGAAACATTGATCCTGCTCGTTAATCTACTAATACTGCCAGACACAACCTTTAACTTTCCCACATGATTGGGCCGTTAGGTACGCTTTTCTTAATTCATACAATCAATGCAAAAACAAAGCATTATAACAAAAAGCAATTATGACATAAGCATAAAATAGTTCATATTTGTTGATAAAACACCAATAAATTGTATTAATTTGTTTATTCCGACATTGGTTTTTTGAGAATGAAAGACCATGTGTAATACGGCATGGGGTTTTGGCCTGAAGGACCGTAAATATCAAGAATTATTCATAAATGTCGGGTTAATGAGATATCAAAAGCTTTATTGGGCAATGATTCATTCTTTATTTGTTTTTGTTGGAAGGTATTTTATTTGGTTCTCTGTGATCTTGTTATATAGTTTTTCTTCTATTGGATATTAAATATAATATGTTCTTTAATTCAGTGATCTGATTTTTCTATGATAGAGAAACAAAACTGAGGTCAGATGTTTATTTTTAGTGGTGACATATTTATATAGTGTCCAACTTTTGTGAATGGTGTTTGTCAATTGGCGTCTGGAGTTTGCCGGTCTGCATTTGAAGCTGCATGTGTAACAAATGGCAGGTCTTGACATTTTGCATGTTAATGCCTTGTTAAATAAAGCAATGTTATTTACATTTTTGTGTATTGTTTCATCTCGTCATAATTATACTTATTTTAATGAGTATTGCAAACAATTTGATTTAATTGAAATATGATTTGTCTCAATTAAATAATTCTTTGATGATTTCATAGATGTCTCTCCTAGTAGAGCTAGGTTTGTAACCATAAGTTAAAAATTTCTCTTACATATATTAGAAAGAATCCAGTGTCTTAATCAAGTCAAATGATTTCCTTTAACATGTAAATCTTCTCAATTCTCAGAAAATATAAGATAACATGAGACCCATTCTTCATGATACACAAATCACATTCATATTACTCCAGCATCGAATGTTGCTGTGCTTTTCAAAGAAAATGGTGACATTGGCCCGTGAAAATGGTGACATTGGTCCGTAAAAATGGATGCTATGGCTCAAACTAAATATCTGGTAATATACCTGTTTCATTGTTATATCTTACAACTTGTATTCTGGTCAGGCACTGTATTACTAATAAAATAGATTAATTGTCAAGGGTCTACTAGAGAGGTTGCCATTCTTCAAATTGCCGCTGCATGCTGTCATATTTCGTTCTGCCCTATTTCGCTTCATTTCAGCCTGTATATTCTCATTGCTGGGTCAAATAGCAATGCATCATTTTTCTGAAAAGGGTTTAAGGTCACCACCACAAGTGATGAAATATTGTTATAGTCTCCAACTTTTTTGTTGTTGGTGTTCGAGGGTTGGTATCTGTAACAAATGGCAGGTGGAGACATGTTGCATGTCAATGCCTTATTTAAGGCATGGGAGTCTCGTTCTTAGTTAATTCACAAAAATTACCCTTTGGACCAACTCTTACCTTGACTGACAATTTGAACTAAGTTTTAACTGAAAGGTTAGCAATTTGGCAACCAGTGTGGACAGATGAAGATATAAATTGAAGCATAATTTCTATATGAACTGATTTTGAATATAACTATTTAAAATTGCCTTAATACATTCTTGTTAATGTATATTCTTTTTATATGTATTTTCAAGACACTCAGGGGAAGTATGCATAATCAGGGGATTAGTGCAAATTATAGATGTTTTTATCTTTTCTCTTTATGTATCATTCCTCGTGGAATTAATTAGGATTAAAATTCAGAATATTTCCCCCAAGAAAACAATGGAATTCAGTATAATTGTACTGTATACAGTAAAGTCATTGCATTTCAGTGGTTTTTCTATTGTTTCCCATATTATATGGTTTTCTCTATTGTCTACCATATTATATGGTTTTCTCTATTGTTTACCATATCACATGATTTCATCCATTATACACCATATAACATGGTTTTCTCTGTTGTTAACCATATTATATGGGTTTCTCTATTGTTTATCATATTATATGGTTGTCTCTATTGTTTACCATATTATATGGTTTTCTCTATTGTTTACCATATTACATGGTTTTCTCTATTGTTTACCATATTACTATACAATATTTTGATATCCCTCCCTTTTGTGCATTTAAGATGCAATTATAACATCCCTGCTATTTCATGAATTGAATAATATCATTTAATTCTCCCGACAATTCTTTGAGGATCTACAACAGTGCAGGGACCTATCAAAAGTCTTAAATATTCTCTAAGGTAACAATTCGAGTTGTTTTTCAATAAGTTGATTAACATTACAATTTAGCCCTAGTTCAGACACTAATAATTGTGGAATTGTTGTATATGTGGCACTCCATAGAGGTTGGCTAACAAGGGTCTCTGATACTCGCATTAGTTAAGGTACAGAACGATACTAAAGGATATGAGGATAATTTGCGTATAAAGGGAGGCTCCTTTATGGGGCAAGAGCAAAATATAGCAATTTTCATCCCGGATACAACCCTTTGATAAGTCACTAAGCCAGAAGGGTAAGTTAGGTACATGCTGATAAATGAAGGGCGGTTATATGTACATATCTCTCCAGCTTGTCATATGCTGGATTCTGGAAATTAGTTGAGTTAATTAATTGGAGCTAATATCTTGAGATTTATCTGGCGCTGGCTCATAAGGTAAGAATATTGAACTCCTTTCTTGTATCTTAATGAATATCCTTAATATTCAAGTGTCAAAATGAATGAATATTTTAGATTCTTGTATATGAAAGTAACTTAATACAATAATATATTGTGACACTTTATACAGCAGTGCCTATGTCAGGAAAGGAACCATTGGTGCTTTATACAGCATTTTGCCACTTCATACAGGTTAATCTGTGTTCTAGATTTTGCTTTTTTATATTTTTTGCAAAGCAGATGAGTTAGTATACTATACAAATAGCAATAGAGGATATGAGATTGAACTTGTGAGATTAAGAATGATATTGGTTGTCATACAATGATAAAAAGCAATTTTATCTAACAATATTTCAATTTATGTTTGCTACAAATATTACGAGAATTTTGTCTGAGGATACTGCTAGTGTACATGTATAAGACAGAAATGAAACAGTATTTTACTGAGCTACCTTATTATAAGTTCACATCTGATTACTCTTCCATGTTTGCTTATTATTACATTAACATTATATAATATAAAAGTGTTCAAATTGAAAGGTGTTCACACAAGTCCTGGTCACACGAGGATCAATGAGACATCCAAAATGAGACTAAAAAATGTTCACATCATGGGATGATTTTACTGGACAATTAAAGATATTCTGAATAATTCATATCTATTTAAGTTAGCTTTGTTAATGGGTTTGAATTTTCATTATGTCATAATTTTCATTCTGTCACCACCACAAGTGTTGACATATTGTTATGGTCTCCCAACTTCTTGTGGATAGAATTTTTGTGTGGCATCTGTAACAAATGGCAGGTAGTGACATTTTGCGTGTTACTGCCTTGTTTATTTATTATTACTTTGTACTCTGAAACATGATGATCATGATATTCAAGGATGATAGATACAGAGCTAATTTTGTTAAGTGCCTGCTATTCTCTAAAATTAAATTACCTAACTTAGCTCTAAAACAATTTGGAACAATTCTATCGATCTATGAAGAAGGTTACATGGCCCCATGGGAATTTGCCTACATATCATCTTGATATGTATTGATTTATTGGTTCTTTTAAAGTCACATGATTTACTAGTGAATTCTGGGTGAATATTCATGAACCATTACATGTTGTATTTTCTTTCTCCACAAGTAGAAAAATTAGTTAGATACTTAGAGCATTTAGGTGTAAATATTTATCACTTAATCATGTCAGAAACTTGAATAAAGACAAAAGAGTTGAGTGTTTGGCAGAGTTTATATTGATTTCTAGGGACAAATTTGAGTGCATGTTTTCTTCCCCAAAAATGCAAATCTACGCTAAGTACAATTCGTAGAATGCTTTTACGAATTCTCAGAATTGCCAAATCATTTTGAAACACAAAGAGGAAAATTCTTTATATGGTTTTTATTAACTATATTTATTACCATTTAAACCCATTTTTGCAAATGGGGTACTTGACCTAAAGTAAGAAAATAAGCCTATTAGATAGCAGAAATGAAAGCCTATTTCGTATATGACTATAATTTTTTGAAGTTATTAATTGAATTGAAATTCTATTGTTACTGTGATAAAATGTCACAGGTTTCGTTGACGTTATTTTGTAAGTACACTGATGTTATTGAACATAAAATAACTGAAATTAATAGATATAATGATTAATTAGTTCATGAATCAAGGTCCCGTTTTGTTGTGTGCTGTGTTTTAATGTCATATTGGCTTCAGTAATTACCATCTAGATATCACCTAAAGGCGTAGACAGAAGTGTACCATGAATAGACTCGTAGTATACTCATAGTAATTTGAAATATATTTTGTTGATTTGATTTTAACTGCAGTCCTTGGTAATTTCTCTAATTTTTTCTATTGGATATTTGAAATATTTATGAATAAAATAAACAATAGGCTCTACACCACCCCACAATAAATGATTTTTTAACTTAAAACTTAATGTGCATTTGTTTGTATTATCAATCAATGATCATTATAAAGAAACAGAAACATATTAAAAAACAAAATCTTCATGCTGTTTATATTTATTATTATGTGGTTGACAGATAAATGAACCAAGTAACCAAAAATAGGCTTTTAACCCCATTCCCATATGAAATCCACACATATGTGGGAAATAAAGATACATACATACATACATACATACATACATACATACATATTAATTTCTACAAGGACAGGCCCGTAGCCAGAATTTTCCAAGGGGGGGGTTCACTTTTCCAAAAAATTCTAGGGGGGGTTCACTTTGGCAAATTTGGCCAAAAATCATTCAAAAAATAGTCAGAATGGTGAAAAACTGCATGATTTTGAAAGAAGTTTTGGCCAGAAACCCCCCTGGCTACGGGCCTGAAGGACTTCATGTTCATGTTTTCCAAATTGAAATAATGGTTCAAGATCAACTCTACAGCATGTGCTCAAATTGGAATCACAATGAACATGTATGATTTAATACACACAGGCACACCTGTAAGTAATAGACAGTCTAAATTGAAAATGAGAGTGATTTTAGTTGATAATGCGACTCATATAGAAATTGTTATAGCTACAGTCTGTATACAAGCCACAGGAATGTAGGATGCTTTAAAGTGTATAAAGAGAAAATATAAACCACAGACAGACAGGTTAATGATCGTTAAGTATGGTGGTTAATGAGTTATAACATTAGCATTAAGGTACATATGGCTATAAGAATAAAATATATTACTTCCCATTACCAGCAGCAGGTTCAGTGAAGAATAATACATCAGACATGAATTTGAAGATTGAAGTCTAAATTACTTATTCGTATATGGAAGGAAGTAGGAGATCTTTCAGGAAAAGACTAAAATCTGATGCTGGCAAAATTCAATCACTTTCAAAGGATGCTCTATTGAATGTACATTATTAGCCTTATTTAATTTCCATGCACTGCGTTTGGCCCTGATCAACTTTTGGATACCATTAAGCTACATGCACTTGTATTATCAAAAGGAGCAACTGGAATATTACTGGATTTGATATCTTTTATAGGGGTTTGCTTTTGAGGTATATAACTCACTTTCTAGAATTGTAAAATTCATTTATTTGGATTCAACATAAAGCTACTTAAAGCATGATACTCTTGATTGATATATCTACAAATGTGTGTTTCAGAAGAAAGCAGGGGAAATAGACCAGTGGCAGAAGAAGGTGGATGGAGTGAATACAATGGCCGCAAGATTGGTTGAGAAGTACAATCATGAAGACACAACCAAGATAAAATCTCAGATAGATCACATCAATAAAAGATGGCAGCACTTATTAACAAAGTAAGTTCTTCATAGCCTATGCCACAAAGCCACATAGTGGATACCATACCAGGGGTTTCACTAGAATTTCTCACAACAGGCTAAATAAATGAAAACAACAGGCAAAATTAATGCAAATCAAGTTCCAAAACAACAGGCGATTTTGTGAAAACAATTGGTAAAAATTGCTTGTTGCCTGCTGCTAATGAAACCTCCGCATACCCAATCTGAAAAGTTCAATCATTTTGAAAAACTAAAATATAAAATGATCTAGTTTAACATAATGAGAAATTATGACAGTTAAGTAGGATGATGAGATCTAAAAAACCTCTCCAGCATAACTGTTCAATTGTGATAAAACAAATTTATGTTATATTTTATCTGTTTACATACTAATATCCTATATTCAGTCAAGTTTGGACTGTCCGAACAGTCAGTATTTGCCTATAGGCTGTGGTGGGAGCTAAATAGACTGTGGTGCTGCGCCACAGTCTAGAAGCCTAGTGAGAGCCCTACATTCTGATTTATGAGTCTCTCTTTATCTAAACCTTGTGAGACTCTATTCCATGGGATAGTAGAGACTGTGGATCCCACAATGGGATAATAAATAAAAAAAATGTTAAATGTAGTTTTTTTTGTTATTAACTTCTTTTGAAAGGACACAGAGTCATGGCAAGAGTCTAGAAAATGCCCTTGACACTCTGCAACATTTTGATGCCTCTGTTGATGACATCATAGCGTGGCTAGACTCGATGGACCAGAAGTTTTCGAAAGTTGATGAGGCGACCCAGAAAGAAGGTCTGCTAGAGGATGAAGAGGAACTGAAGGTTCAGCATGATAAGTATAAGGTAAGCGAAAGTATATGTTTTACCTTATATTAAGGCTTGAATAAATCTGATCTTCTGGTCCAGTATTTTTATGCCTATTGAAAGGTTACATGTTAATATATTTCATGCGGAAAGTGTTCTGAAAATCATAATATTCCTCTTGAGTGTAGTATAAGTCATATCTTATGTAAGTTATACACCCCTGAGTATTGGAACTGGTACTCTGTATATCAAATTAGTAGTCCAAGTGCATTCTCTATACATTCTTGGTCATACTTCAAAAGTTTGATAAGTCGATGTAATAAAAGGCTCCCCCCTCTCCCCTAGTAAATGCCAAAACTAGAATTGAAATCGGTCATACTGAGGCTGAAGCATATTAAGTCTTTATTGAAATATTTTATGATAACAGTCTCATCTAAGTGAACACTACGCTGTCTCATTTTATCAAATTTTTAAATGAAAATAACACTTATAACTATAGCCAGTCTTTAATTAAAGTATTCAGACATGAATTAAGTCTACTTTGCAAATAGTTTATTTTAATTTTAATAAGATTGTACATCTTGATTCGCAAGACTTCATTTGCTCCAACTTCATTGTGTTATAACCACCCTTGAAGTCGAAGATTGTGATTATTAAGAAAATATGATTTCAGTTGTGTTCTATAATTCCAGAATATAATATCTCATATTGGTACCAGTTGGGCTTATCTCCAAGAAAGAGCTATTTTATCAAGTAATTACTGAACAAAAAGCAATTGCATAATATGATGTTATTAATGTAGAAATGATATTATCAATTTCACTTTAAAAACAATCACATTACGGATGATTTCTGATTTTTATGACGTGCCTGTTAATAGCTTATGAATATATTTAAAAAAGAATTTGTACAATTTTGTTCTCTATAGATTATCATTGTATTAACTCATAAGCGAGTGGATCTTTGGGTTGTATCAGACGTGTGCCCTGGATCTTAAAATAAGCAAGGTATTGAGTAAAAAGAGATATGATTCTTTCAAAAGACTCAATTTTTTTTACAGTTTTGATTGAATGTTTTTTTGTAAAAAGGCACCTGACTCATACCTACCCATGTCCCTGTGTTTTGTTAAGTGTTTATTTGTAGTTCTATTTTTGGGATATTTGTGAGGAAGTTTGTAACAAATAAGAAGTTAACTGATAATGTGTTCATTGTGGGCACTTATCAAATTGTCTCTGTTAAGTCTCAAAAGCCTGGTAGTGATTGATGTTGTTCGACTATCTGAAATTACTTTTTGGATTGTTAGACTCCTGCTATAGTTTGATCTTACATTTTCTTAAGATGTACTAGGATTTATCAAAGCAGGTTATCATACCCCATCATCCTGATTGATATTTCCTGATTGAAAAGTATCACGATTGGTTAGAATAGATCACATTGTGTTCTGAGGGCTCTTGGGAATACAGCTCCTTTGGTGTTTCTATTGTAATTAATGAGTGATCTTTGGTAGTAGGGAATTATTCCAGACTGATACCAAGACCCTTGAAGGCTAATTACCCTTACATTTTTCTAAAATCCTCCTGGGATATCAAAAATATCTCATAGTTATTTTTGAAAAATTGTATTTTTTCTCATAGCTTATACATATTGCATGTGGCTATAGTGTTCTGTTCTTCTGTTGTTGTATCATAAAAGCCATAACCATGGTAATGAGAGGAGGAAAATGTAAGGGATCTGATCTTTTGGAGACTACTGGTCTATTTTGCGTCTACCATAGGTTATATTTTATTACCCTTATAATTCTGGACTGGTCATGCCTTGTTCACGGAAGATGAGGAAATTCAGATGAATTACGTTGATGCATTCAAGCATGGATTTCTATAGCACTCTAAAAGGCCTGATTCCCATCGACTTACCAACGGTGACATTTGATGAAATAAAACATTGACTGACATTCTGACTCCGACACTGTAAGGTTAAGCATTGATCAGTGTTTGAATACTAACTTTATAGCCTAACTTTATGCCTAGTTGTGTATCAAAGCATTGTTAGTTGTTCTGGCAATTAAGGAAAATAAACAGTGGATATAAGGTGTTATAATCAAATTACTGAATGAAGGAGAGACTTCTTCATGAGCTGACCTCTATGGAGATTCTAGAGGAGATATACGCCACTGAGGAAAAACTAGAGAGGGTATGTAGGAATTCATTGAAAGGGGTATATGTATGTTATTATATATATTATAAAGGTTATGGAGGTTATAAATATCATTCGGGTATATACTGCGTGAATGACAGTGATAATGACAAAGGGTTAAGTAAATACAATGGTGAGTTAAGCAAAACAAATTTTGATTTGAATACAGTTACAGAGGTTTTCCTTAATTTTCTTTGAAAATATTTTCTCAAAAATTTATGATCAGGAAAATATTTCTTCAAAATCTAGTGAAATAACAATTGGACTATAAAAATCTGAAATTGATGATAAAACCAACAGCGAACAAAAGATTACAGTATACTTTTCTGATTTTTCGGGATCACAATATTTGATTGGTAGCTTATTTCAGCAAGAGATATATGAAACACGCAATGATAAATGTTTGCAGTTATACAATTGAGGAGTTATTTGTTATTTGAAATTGATGGCAAAACCAACAGCGAACAATAGATCACACAATAGTTTTCTGATTTTTTCGGAATCACAATATTTGATTGGTAGCTAATTTCCAACGAGAGATATATGAAACACGCAATGATAAATGTTTGCCGTCGTACAATTGAGGAGTTAATTTGTTGAAGCCTCGAGAAGTGACAAATTAGTAATGAATTAAATCCTCTGAGACCAGAGAATTTTATCTGTGGCAGCTGATAGTCAGCTTAGACATGATTAGTTTACACTTTGTTTGTGCAATATCTACATTGGCTTTATATTTATCATGTTGGTGAGGGTTTTTAACATCATAGTCCATTTACAATTTTTTTTCCATTCTCAATGTTTCATCAACTTTGATTCTATGTAGTTGTATTTGAACACTTGAGGTTTACTCTATAGAAGTTCTGTTTGTAGTGGGGATCTACTAGATTTCCTTGTTTATACCACTTTTTATTTGTGGTTTATGTGGTCTTTTTGTGGTAACTTTTTTTGCATTTTATTTGTCAATGTACAATAAGACCCTATGTAGGTGAAGCACTTTAAAAGTACTCTACTCATGGAGATATTCCACAGGTATTACTGTATTCACAGCTTAATTAAAGAAATTAACTTGAAATTGTACACTGTGTTTTATGTCTTTGATAAGTGATGTATTTTTCCTATTTACTCAAGAAAATACTCAAGCTGTGTACTCAACATAATTATTCAGACTTGAGAACATGCATATTGGCATAGGGAGGCCAACAATGTAATTTTACCTCGGCCTTCCTAGTATGTTAAATATTGTTATATAAAATTATGCAAAGAAATAAAACTTAACCTTAAAAAAACATGCATATTGGCTTTTTTGACTAACTGAAAGCCCTCCCTAGTCCTTAGTTCCTCTGCTAGATTTGCTTAAATTAAGTCTTCAATTAGTACACGGCAGACATGGAATGTAATTATAAAACACAGGCACTGGTTTCTTCTGGTACAAGTTGAACCAGTCCATGTTCATGCATAGCTATACATGCATATCTATCATTGCACTAATTATCCTAATTTCACCCATCAGCTTTCTAGAAATGTAAAAAAAACAATGTACAGACATGTCGATGAATGTAATGACTTGCATGGCATTTAATTATATTGTTGTTATTATCATTTCCTCGTAATTTGTATAAAATATACAGCAATTAAATTCAGATATTGAATTCAGAGTTTTCATCTGATCCATCTGAAAAAGTATGAAATGTTGAACATATCAATGGATATAGAATCTCAAAAATATTCATGTTTATTTTTACTGGATTTTAGCATAAATTATGATCAGGTTATTTAACTCATATTGATCAATTAAAATACATGGATTATGATCTTTTTTAACCAGGGGTCCATTTTTAGAATTGTTGCAACTTCAATTTGGTCACACGTCAGCATTATTCTTAAAGTAGATAATGGGTATCGAAGAATCATTAGTTACGATCATCGTGCCTAAAAATGGACCTCAAGATAATATAACTAATAATGATTTGATCACTGTCATCATAATAACAATTATATATTACCATATCATGGATTTATAGGTGTTCTTTAATAATATGGTCTTATTAAAGGGGCAATAAGGACTGTAGAAAAAATAGGAAAGTTTTTTCATTTTTTCTGAGCTATCAAGGCAACATTTGGTTTAACATCTTCTTTGACATACCTATTTTCCTAAAATGTATCGATGAATTATCAATTTCAGCATTAAGAAGTGTAAATTCAGTTCAAAGCTTCAAAAAGAGGACTTCCACTTTTATATTTTTAAGATCCACCATGTTTCAAGAGGAATATCAGCTAAAACAATGTTTATCTAGGGGGTTTCTTTGTAGATAATAAAAATAGATGTTAGTCTTGATGAAATATCCAAACTTAAATATATTTTGACACTGGTCCATGATCGTTGAATGGCCCCTCTGCACTAATTATTGCACCTTTAAACATACAGACCACCCCTTTACCCAGATATTACCAGATATTTTAGAGCGGGCTGTCAGGAAAATTAGATTAAATTAACTCATTGAATTGCCAGTTATCTTTCCAAAGCCTCTGGCACTTTATCTAATAAGAAATTTAGATCTTGAGCCGATTCACTGGCCACTATGGACATTGAGGGGTGATGTATCAAAATGTTGCCATTGATCAACACAAAATAGTTCTCTATTCATTTCCCATGGTAGTAGCTGCCTGTTGATGAAATATTACTCAGGTCATTTTTTCTTTAAACCATAAATAGAGCAAGAAAATGGAAATAAGAAAGTGTGTGAGGTAACAGGTCTGAAGATGAAACTCTGAATTGTGGAGGGATGTCAGGAAATCTGCCACTTTACGTTTTTGAGCGATATTGCGTTGAATAAGCAAGCCCAGTT